AAAATCACAAAAAGTGCTTGTTCTGTTGTGTGAAGAATTTTTTTATCCATATAATGAATTAACCAATTTCCAAATTATATTGTTTTTATTTTTAAAAAAATTCTATAGACCTTTTTATGAACATGATATAGTCTTAAAAAACATTGATTATAATTATTTAATCTACTTTTACTTAAAAAAAGTCAAAAGCATGTATTTAAAATGAGTATTATATTATACATTTAATTGTAATTCATTTTTTTTCTGGAATAATTTTTTTGGTTTTAAATTTGAATTTGAAGATTGTCAACGATGCAAACATAAAATTTTGTAATTTTTTTTTAATCAAAACTATCAATATATTGTTTATCTTTTGGTACTTCCAACTATTCTACTCAATCAATTACATTTTTCTCCTAAATGGTGCATTTCATTCAAGTCTATAAAACAAATCTAGAGATTCATTATATACCAAAAAATCATATATCTTCAAAATCCATGTCTATCATTGTCATAAAGAGAATTATTGTCATCACCTTACTTAGTTGTAATATCTAATCTGCATAATAGTTCATGGGCACAAATTGGTCTCACTTGAAATTATTGCAGATATTGCATTGTTTAGTCTCAAGTTTGTTGATCATGATTGTAGATTTCAAGATAGTCCATTACTCTCTTTCAAATACATATTTACAGTCAAAGTTAATAAAACTCAACTAAAAATTATTTATTGATAAAAATATCAGATGTTATAAAGCTAATATTGAAAATAAAAAACATATGCATGAAATATACGCAGAAGATTCATGGAAAGAAAAATTACCATCATTCACTTTTGTGAGTTAAATTTGAGAATAAATTTTCTTTTGAAGTTTGAACCGTTTCAAGAAGCAGATTGAAAAATTGTGATTAAATCATATTGGAAATTAGTTTTCAACAATATTAATCACGCAATCTTTAAATCTAGCAAATTTTTTGTATTGAATGATGAATATAGAAGAAAAAAATTTAAATATGTAACGTAGATTAAAAATATAACTAATATATCAAACTTTTGTATGATTATCTTTTCAATCTTTATAGATAACAAAAGTTCAATTACAGATATTTTTAATTCAAACTGCAAATATATTCATGTATTATTATGATAAATATGTAAAAATAATGAAAATTATTTTTTAAATCATATAAATTTTACTTCTAATAAAAAATAATATTGATAAATATAGTTTTAATCTTTTATCAAAATAAAATAGATAACATGTACATAATAAATGGTATAATTAAAATTTAAATAATATTACTATATAAATTAAAATTATTAAATAAAATTTATAATTAATTGAAAATATTATTTTTAAATAATTCAATATTGATTTTATATAATTTTTTTAAATTTAGTTGTTTTTTTCAAAACAAAAATTCAAGAATATTGTCACTTCTTTTTGTTTAAAATTTATTTTATTTCTTTATTTTTTAAAACACTACATTGCTGTAACTTGTTTCTAAATTGTTCAATTTTTGCACCAAAATTGTTTTTATAGATGTATCAAAGGTTAAAAAAATTCATTTTATATCTTATCTAAGCCTGTTTTTGAATCAAATAATAATCACACTGTTTATTTCATATAAACATAGGGATGCATAGAGCCAACACCAAGAAATGTAATTCAAGTCTTCAGATATTAGTTGCAAGAAATAAAAAAAACCTTTTAGAAATCTTAAGTTTGTGTAAACCAAAGCACAAAATCTTTACTCAAACAATTTAAGATATGACCAAGATTCTCCTATAAGGATAAGCTAACTTGACTCCTACAAATTAGATTAATAGTCACCTGAATTCACAATATTCAAGTTAATTTCTTACAATAAATTTTTTTGAAGATTATGGAGTTATTTCAAAAAAATTCATAAAAAGTTTAAAATATTTCCAAAATTACCTAATTAGATACGTCTGATCATTTTATATATACTATAAAAAATAAACCTCCTTTCATTCTTTTTGTTAAATTTTAAAATATTGAATTCTGAAGTATATTTCAATTTTTCAAATTCATTTTGAAACACTGATTAAAATATAGATTCTTCTAAAATCTCGTCAAAATTGATATGATCTTATCAAAATTATTTATTTCATTTCTTGGAAAAACAGAATTGATCATATTATTTTCATCATCATCATTATCTTCATTGAAATTTTTTTAATTTGTTATGTTTATACACAATACACCTTGATTTTTACGATATTGATTAGAAGATTTTCACAAATTTAGTTTTTTTTTATATATCAAAGCACTGTAACATGTTACTTTCATATTAGTTTCAATTTCATGTCATCATTGAATATAAAACTATATTTTTTAATTAAATTAAATTTTGATTTAGCTCTTGAAAATGTCACCATTAGAAACGATAAATCTTAGCTTGGATATTTTATTATATCGTTAAAAATCATAAATTACTCATTCATTAATTCTTGTTACTTTTTATAATATCTAAAATAATAAAGAATAAGTTTATTCTTTACTGTAGCTTGAGCCTTATTCATTCAGGTTATTTTATGTAGTATGTTATTAGTTTTCGTTCTAGTGCTCTTGGCACTAGCTAGGGGGTTCTTTTGGTTCTCTCCTCGTTTGGAGTTTGATTGTTTGTATCGTGTTTCTTAGCCTTTTGACCCTTTGGGTCTCACGGGCTTGATCTATTTACCAATATGTAATACTATCATCAAATTTATGTAAGATATGAATATTGGCCTTTTAGATCTAAGCACGATGCCTTTAAAAAATGTATTTTTTTCCTTCATAACAATATTGATAATGATATAAGTCATCAAGTTATTTCATTTCTTTCTCTTACAGTCATATTCACATAAGGGGTTCTCTATTGATAATCCTTTGAATTTTACGTTCAACTCTGTAGATTGCACTTCGCAATTTTTACTGAGATGTAGTTTAAAATGACTCCATTCTCTTATGCAACATCAATAGAGGCTGAAAAGGCATCGTCACTTGGTAAATCGTTCACAATTTTTTTTAATGCCTTTTTAACATATCGTAAAAGTTGTATCAAATACATCCTCTCGTTCTGAGTTATGGCAATTCTATATCTGTACATGGGAACCACTTATGCATCGGTTCAACATATATGGATGTGATGGCATATATTTGATGATGTTAAATGGTTCATCAATAAAGACAAATTTCATAACGACGGAAATAAAATAAAAAAAGGATCTTTTTGTCAATCCTTCTTGGTTTTTTATTTCGAGTCTTATAACCAGAAAACATTTCTTGTGCCTTGTAACATCTACTCTTATGTTATGTTTACTTCGATATAAATTCAAACTTTCTGTGTGACTAAATGAATTGCACATACTAGTCGGTTTCGGTCAATTGACAACTCCGTTCTCATAAATCTATGCGTTTAGGTTAATACAATATTCTCTATTCATGCATTCTCAAGCTAGTTTTCCAGGATCGTTTTTCAAAAACCTTATCCATCCCATGATGTGCACTTTCTCATTGTTCATTGCGTTTCAAGAGTCAATTGTTTTTAACTGAAAGGGAGTACCGATTACTGTAGTAGGTTTTAACTGCCTGACTGTGGTTGGAGATCTCTTAAAATTTCATTTGGTGACGTTTTGCTAACTAAGGAGATGACTCACACTCGAAGAGGCATGGCATGGCGACATAGTTGGAAGATAGATATGAGTTTGACTGTCCTACAAATCTCCGGGAAAAAGTATGGGTTGCTGAGAAGCATATTTCTAGTCGAAGAGAGCATCTGGTCAGATATTTTTATTCGGTCATGTTTCACACATGTAAAATGCAGAGTATTGATTTGGGGTAAAAAGGTGAAGGGAAATGGCCCGTCTCATAATGAAGTGGACAGGAGGCATGCATACTCCTGGGAGTTGATTTGTTCCATGAGTTTGACTTCCGGGATCATAATTCAGTTCTAAAGTTCTTTGCATATGAGAAGGCGACGAGGCATGCGTATTTGGGGCATGATGGGAAAGTTTTTCTTATTGCATGCCGCTTTAGAAAGTCTTAAAATCCTGCACCATCCGAACCAGAGAGACAAAGAAGGTTCTGCAAACCATACGAGGTCGTCACAGCGAGCGTATGATGGGATCATGAACGAGACCATGGCCTTTTCTGGGGATTAGTTATGTCCATTTAGTGATGGAAGGAGCATTCCGTGCGCGAAAACAGTCCATCAATGCACATGAGCAGCTCTGGGTTGCATTGAATGGTAGATGCTGATTTTCTCTTCAAGGCACAGGTCATGAATGCAGGACTTTGGCTTTTGAGCTTCTAGAGTAGTAAACAGACGCAATGCAATCACACGCATTGAAGACTCATAGAGTTGCAATCCAAAAGAACGAGTAGGATGACTGGCATGGATTCCAGAAGTGCTCTCGCACGTCAGAAGACATGGTAATGCTGTGTTGGGACTGGGCTGGACGAGAACGAGGACATGCATCTCATAAATGGGGAGAACGAACGTAAGGGAAGACAGTGGGTGGTAAAGGTGGTATTAAACCCTTGAGCCTCCCTCCCAAGATCGAAGAGTGAAAAGAACCGATGCAGTTCGGATTCAGAGGAAAAATCCAAGTGTGTGCGAAAAGAGAAGCAGGTAAGCCCTTTGCACATGGCAGAAAGGATATAAAAAGTTGGCAGTCGATCACTCACATCTCTTGTGGTCGGTCATATCATGCACATTTGCTATGAGCTGGAAAAGACATCCCAATGATGGCGTCTAATGCTCTTCATGTGACATCTTTAACTCGGTGGATCCCACCAACCTTTCAACTAAACTATGCTGTTGTGTACTGGCGGTACAGTCGGTTTTATGATGACCATTCGAGCCCCATTTCCGGCCCAGATTAAACTTCAAGGTCCTCGAGTACCATGAAATCGTAGTCAGCGGTTTTTCTGGCGAACTCCGGTTGCCATATGATCATCACGTAGTACGCTTCTTCGAGGGCTTGAGCAAAAGGCTACAGTCTAAAATCTCTGCATGACAACTCCCTCCCTCCCAGCGATCCCAGCAAGTGGCTTCTCTCTGTTGATAAGCACCGGACGAGTCAACTTCTGCTATTATAAGCTCTAGACCTGATCATCAAAGAAGAAAATGCCTCTTGACCCCAGTCAACTTACGGACAGGATGATGAGAGGCTGAATATCTTTAACTCGGCAGCGGACGGACTTCTGTGCCCGGCTTTCTCTTGCGCGCACCTCGACGCATCATTGGACGGCTTTCCATTGAACATCGCCGATGGAGACTGAAATACCCCCAAAGAAAAGAAGCAAGGCGGAAGAAGGTCTCATGATGCCCCGATGTACAGGCGGTAAATGATCCTATCTAGATAATCATAAACCCTGAAACTTCAGGATTCTATGTGTCGAAAGTCGACGAGGCTAGAGTTAACTCGATCCCACTCGTCGTGGAAAGCGTCGCAGTTCTCATTCTGTGCTTTTCTTTTTCAATGGGTAAGTTCTTCTACAACGTCTAGTCCTTGCATGTGTGCAGACTAGAAGAATGATCTGGTCCGCGTAGGCAGTCACACAAGAGTTGTTAGTTTGTGCCAGTGCACAGACCTTTGCGAACATAGCTGTAGCCGTATTGTTGCCACTGCAAAGTATCTTTCGGGCCTACGAGCGAGACCAAGTTGACGTGAAGAGACGAATATTTTGTCAGCTGACCACGTACAGAGAGACGAGACTAAAAGGGGGTCAGCAGTGACGAGCAGTTAAGCTTTGTGACTTTTGTTGATACCACATCCTTCGTTGGTTGAGCAGTTTTGAATTTTCTAGGTAGATTTTTATGGTACGATCTAATTCTCGCTTTCTTCTTTCTGCTTGTAGGACTCTCTAAGTCTATTCGACTCGGGTAGCCTGGGAAAGGCACTAGAGTCTAGTGTGTGTGTGTGTTCTCGATGGTGACGGGAAAATATATTTTAGGCTCCAAGGACCGAGTCAAGATGAAGCAAGGAAGGAAGTATTCTACCTGGTGCATTGAATAGAATTGAATTGAATTCTCGTCATGGCAACTCCCCACCAGATTCACTTTTTGTTTGGACATGATTTCGGATCCAAGAAGTTGGAAGATGGGTTGGGTTGAGTTGGGTTGGCTTCGTATATAAAGACTTGAAATACATACAACAAAGATAACTGGACACTGCGGTAGATGCCTGAAGTCCTGGACTTTTTCCTCGTCTATGTAATGACTGTGTCAAAGGCATAACACCTTTAACATGTAATGATGGATGAGGGGTTGCTTGGATCACACATTCTTGGGCACCTTTGCTGTGAATTGCATCTTTCATGACTGCAGATCGTCTGACAGTTTATCCGAGTAGTAACTCTCCCCCCCTCCTCTCCCTCCCTCTCTGAGCACCAGATCGAATTCAGTTCGAGCATCAGAAAAACATTGTGCTTGTGGCGAATCTCACTCAATTATCATCATCCTGTAACCTGTGGATACTGGACCTCTTTGTCTGTCCGCCCAGCCCAGCCAGTGAGCCAGCCGTGCTGCTGCCATTCAGCCAGCCAACAAGCCAGCGAACCAGGAGGGCCTCTGGGCTTAGTCAGGGCTTCTGCTGCGCAAGCGATCGTAGGTCCATTACTCCTGAGTCCTGTCGCCGAGGCCCTAAGCTCGAAATTCCGGCTCTGGCACAGCGCATTTGAGGCCAGGTAGAATTCTGCATAGGCATATTTGACCCCGCCGGGATGCCCTTGGTCACCCTGACGAGCCGAGTCCGAAGGAAGAACATCATGAAAAAGCTCGCGGCGCCCTTTCTTCTTTTCTCGAACGCATGGAAGACGGGGTCTTTTTCCAGATATTATTTCCCGTCCGCCATGCCGGCTCCCCATTTGTTTCTCCAGGGATGTCAAAAAGCCTTCCGTTACGGGCGAGAAATCCCTGGAGCTACTCGCTCGCTACACTCGCCCTTCGCGCCAGCGCTGTAATTAAGCCAAAAGCTTATGCGCCCCGCGAAAAGAAAGAGTGATGAAAAAGCTCGCGTCCATCCACAGAGACCAAAAAGGCGTTCATTATTTCTACCAGAACTGCGTCGTTCTTGACCACGACCACGACCTGAAGTAATGGCACGCTTTAACTCGTTGTTCCGTCCCACCCACCACGTCAAATCCGTTGCCATCTCTGCGACCGTAGAGAAAGAGAGAGAGAGAGAGAGAGAGAGCCGCGGCAGTGGTGCCAATGGTGGACGATCTCGCGTCGGGGTCGGTACCGGTGGTGGTGGTAGAGGAGGAGGAACCGTTGAGAACGAGCGCCCGTCATACCATAAATTTTCGAACGCTTCGGCGATTGATCGATCGATTACCGAGAGGTGTCGCATTGATGCGACTGCATGTATGATCTCAGAGAGCGAGAAAAAGTCGTGGCCCTTTTCGGGCACAGAATTGGAATCTCGAGCAGCTGACGGTAATGAGAACAAAACGGATTGGAAGAATGTGTGTTTGTGCTGGCGACGGTATCGGCAAACCCTAAAACGAAGTCTATCGGACGGGATCGATTCTATTGGGCAGACAGAAGACAAGAAGAGAATGAAGGCTCGAGGCCGTGGGGACGGTGGGGCTGAGCTGAGCTGAGCTGAGCGGTTGAATGTATGTCGTCTGCATTTGACGGATGGAAAGAAAAAAGAGAGAGCGCCGAGAGGCGATGGCAAGATGTCCAATTCGTGCTCAAAAGGCGTGCAGGCCCCACAGACAGCCACCCAGACACGCAGGCGGGCGGGCGGGCAGACAGACAGACAGGCGCAAGAGCAGGACGTGCAGCGTTGGGGGCTTCATATCTTCTTGGAGTCAACCATCCGCGCGTTTGAAAGCGCTTGGCAATATTGGTCGTGAGAAGATTAAATCCGATTGTTTTACCGAATCCCTGCGGCCGAGACGCCAACGCAGGCACGCAGAGGCACCCAGCCCTGCAGCCCGCCCGCCCCGACGACTGACCGACTGAGAAAGGCGAGGGCATCTCATGATAGGAATAAAAAAGGGAGGGCCGGCCGGCCGGCCAGGGTCCATCGCAGGCGCGCATCCATGCAGCGCAATCGTTGGCCCGGAGGCTGATGATGTTGGGGAATAGAATCGAACTTACGCCCTGCCTGCCGCTCCGGCGGAAGGGCGGGAACGCAGCGGACACTGATGCATGGAGGGAGTGGAATCGGCCAGGCCCCCGCTCGGAGCAGGTCGCGTCAGGCCCTGCAGGAGAGCGGCATCTCATCCCCATGCCCGAGCTCCTGCTCCTGCTCCTGCTCCTAATCCATGAGCCGAGGTGGGCAGAGGGGAGAACGTGTGCCAACTAGGGACTTACATCGCATGGCGGAATGCAGCAGCAGCAGGAATCAGGATTGCATTGTGCCTTTTGGCAGGGAGCCCCAAAAGTCCGTGTTCGTGTTCGTGCTCGTGTGAAGCGACGAGGAGTGAGTTACCGCAAGGCTCGGCCGGGCTCAGGGCTGAGGGCTTGAGGGATGAGGCGGGCGAACAAAAGATTCAGATCGATCTTGAAACCACAGCAGGCAGCAGCAGGCAGGCAGGCAGGCAGGCCGGCCACCCCCCGCTTTATTATCCAGACTCCCAAGGAGTCGGAACCCCGTCATGAGTCCATGCCGAGCACGTCCCCACCACAACTCGACGCAATGATATCTCTCGCTCCGCCCTTTGTCTTACGCTACCCGCCTCGAGTAGACACCGTCCCCTACACAGCAGGACGGTACATGCAAGCCTCTTTCTCCTCCTTCCTTCCTTCCTCATTCCATACGTCTTTCTCGCCCGTTTCGACCCAACCCCTGCCCCTCCCCATAACTAATTGCCTCTGGCGAGCCCAGCCGCATGCCCTCAAAAGGCTAGTCCTTGCAGCGTGTTGCCCCTGGGCCCTGGCGCTGCCGTCTGCCAGAACGGACGGACGGACGGAAATCGTGACCTGCCTGCCACCATCATCATTATCATTGCATCGCCGCAGCGGATATCGAACGCGAAGGTGGTGTGCGCCTTCCGTCTTTCGGTTTCGCGATGCACGTTTCGGCATCTGCGTGCTCGCTTTTCGCAGCACACACGAGCACGCGCGCCCGCCCGCCCGCACGGGGATCGCGATTCGCGACGGCCGCGGATATTTGGATCCGACCCGGTAGCGAGAACTGCGAGGGAGTGGGGCGAAGTCGCGCGGGGGGTGGGGGCTCCGAGTGATGATGGACGGCGAAGTTGACCTGTGTGGGGGCAGATCGGTTACGCAGTATTCGCCATGAGTGCCCAATACTCGTGCATGTCTTGGCCGCGGAGTCGGGGCGCCTGCCACACGTGGCAAGGGAAACACATGCATTATCTGCAATGGACATGAAATCTATCTCTGAATCTATCTGTCTAACATTCCCCCTACAGTGAATGAAGGGCCGGCCAAACATTTGAGATAGAATGATTTGCGGGCTTGCGGAGCCCTCGCTCGCGAATTCTCGTAGACATGTGCGTAGCCATATATAAATATATCCCCAGGGCGCGAGGGGCCGACGGAATGTCAAGCCTCCATGAGGCCGACCGACCGACCGACCGAGCCGGACGGAAAGACGGAGGCGAGCAGGGGCCGGATCGGGGCTTTAACGGATGCCCTCATGCAGAATGTCAGAGACCGCCGCACCGGGGGCAGTGCAAAAGAGACCGGAAGAGGTTGCGATGGACCGAAAAGCCGGTTCCATGGACTGACGGACGTGACGCGGGGGGGTGACGGGGCGATGACGGGCCAGGCGGCCAGGCCTGGGGGCCGGCGCCGGGCCATGAAAGGAAGCAAGCAAGGACGGAGGCCCTTGCTCCGGCGTGCCCAGCAGCCACCCGGTACAGTTTGGGCCATTCCACCTGGAGACTACAACAGTTTTGCCGAGATGAGAATTTCGGCAGAGATCTTCATGAACGCACAGACAAATGCGCATGCGTTCGTTTATTCTCGTGCCGCTGCCGCTGTTGTTGTGGCTGCTGTTGCTGTTGCTGCTGCTACTTATGCTTACGCCCGTAACCGAACCCGGGCGCGACCCCACCCCACCCCAATCCACCTAAACTCAACCCCTGCCTGGCCGCAGCGTCGAGCCAGAAATCGCTCGTTTCGCAAACCCCGAGCTCCTCGCCTCGCATCACATGCGGCTGCTCTCGCTGCTGCAGTCATTGCAGCCGTGCACCTGCTTCTCTTTGTCTCTCGCTCTCGGCATCTGCGTTTCGTTCTGGGCATTCCACCACACCACAACCAACCCCCACCCCCAGCTGTTCGATCGAAGAGCTTCCATAACTCCATGGAGAGCGTTACCAAACTGAACCGGCGTGTTTTTTTGGGGTCCCGCGGAAAAGATCTTCTCGTGCATTGCATCCATGGCGACGGACGACACCCCGTAGCATGGTCAGGCCAGGGCAGCGGGACAAAAGGGCGACCGCAATAGTCCGTCAGATAGATGGATATTCGTATTTTACGTGTTGCGTGGAATCTCCGTACCAACAGAAGGACGCCGTCGTCTGGCCCTAGGTCACAGGTGCTTGAGTCTACCCCGAGCGCATACATACATGTCTCGTGTTCGGATCGAACAGCGATGAGGATCAGGTTGCTGGCCAAAGGTAGTTGATCGGCAATTCAGATGGGCTGGGCTGGGCTGGGCTGGGCTGCGACGAGCGAAAGCAAAGGCGTCGGTTCCAGACATGTATACCTGTAATGAGTGCTGTGTTGCTTACGAGGAACATGGCCTACATGTTATCTGCTCGTTCGAGCTCGCTCGCTCGCTCGAGTAGTTCAGGTCCTCGGGACCTCAGCCTCAGGTCAGAGTATGGCTCAGTATCTCGCAGTCCCAAGTCGCCAGTACAGCAGGCGGGCTTCTACACCCCCTGTCCATGTACTGCAGACGTCTGCTGGGGACGGGAGTACTGCTGCAACCACTGACCGAATGAACGAAACCAGAGGCGAGACGAGGAGAGCAGATCAGAGCAGAAATCTCTCCTTGGACGGTTGGACCTTGATTCTCACTGACACCTACTAGACTCTGACACACTGGCGGGCGGGCTAGCGGGCAGGAGGGCGGGCAGGCATGGTCTGTCCACTCACAGTTCACTACCTCGCACTGCTCACATCTGAATCACATGCCATCCTGCTCTTCGTCCAACCATCTGGCTCACGAGTCACAACTCACTCTCGCTCCGGGGATCTGTTGTATGTTCAGCTGAGCTTCACATGAAGAGTGTGATCTCTGCGACGGACTGCGCTCTGGACTGGCTGCTCGCCACCGTCGGGTACAACACGCGGCACGTAATCAACTGTTCGAGACATTATGTCCAATCGCTCGACTCGCCCGTCGCAGCTCCTGCCTCGGCGAATCGCGTCGCAGCCTTGCCCCTCGTCTCCCCCTCGCCTCGCGTCGCTGCGATCCAATACTGAGGCGTCCGGCGATGACGAGGTCTGATGTTGTAATGCAACGTCCAGCCAGCCCCACAGGGCCTGGGCCTGGGGCCGGGCTGCAGCTGTAGCATCGGCCAGGGCCTCTCGCGAGTACATTCTCCCTCTCATCTTACCAGCCAATTCGAACCTCTGAGCCAACGAACGACATCTCTCACTCAATGCTGCTGGAAGGAGTGCGTGACCTCCTGCCTTTCTCCGAAAAGGGCGTCATCGTTCATAAAGCTGCTCGCACTGTACCTCCTAAAGGTGTCTCACTGTTCTCTATAATTGGTTACAGTCGCCGTGCCCTGCCGTGCGCTCTCTTGCGGGATGCTAATATTCTGATGAAAACCCCCATGGACGCATCGATCATTCGAACGAACAAGCAATCAATCAATCAGTCAGTCGATCCCCGTTCGGCAATATGCACCGAACCCCTCCAAAACACGGTAAACGTTTTCCTGGAATGAGACTTCACTCGCTGACACGTACCGTAGTTCTGGATTTCAGGAGCCATTATAAATAAGCACGAGACTCGAGAGACGAGAAGATACCTGCTCGTTCGACAAAGAGCCACTGTTTCGTCTCTATGCACCATCCTCGGTCCAGGTCTCACTCAGCTCATGTCGATCTGCGATGTCACCGCTCGACATTACATCAGCGAGCATTGTGATGGCAAAGCCTGGGGGATTCCTTTGTCGATGTGGGGGTGAGTGTGCTAGGGTTGACTCCTTGCATGCGCAGTGATTCACGGCCCCTGGACAGACTGGATTCGCGGTTTGTTATGTTTCCGGATTGAGATTCTCTGTCTATCTATTCTTCCTGTGTTCCGCGTTTGAAAGTCTCAGCGATTGCGCATCATCAGTGAGACTTGTACCTGAGAAGCTCCTCGAATCTATTTGCTTCTGGGAGGAGGATTACTCACTCGCACAATTTCCTGGTCAGTTTAGTTTTTCGTATCCTCGTTTGCAGTCTCAATCTAGATTCCCTCCAACAAGCAAATTGAGGCGAAGCTTCTCGGTGTGGGACCTGCTGGACTTCCTGCGACTCCTGCCGAGGATGGGACTTATTCCCGCCCTCCAGAATATTTCCAATCAGCATGATCCTCTGGGACAGTAGGAATGGAAGAGCAGATAAGAAGCACATGAAGCAACACAGTGAGTAGCATGGGGAAATGCCCTCTCCGCAGTACAGTACATGAAAGATAACCCCCACCCTCCATATCTTTCTCTTCTGATTGTGTACGTCGGATGCAGTCCGACGCAGATTGTTTGCATGCATGACATTGTATCACTTTCTGGATTCTGGATGCCAACTGAGCCACAACGGTTTTCTAAGAGTTTCTCATGGCTAAGATATTATCGTGCAGTGTTATGTCATCGATCAGAGCCTTGGTGTGAGGCCAGTGGAGCGGCAGGATCTGTGATTATTCACACAAAAGAGCGCATACGGTTTTTATATTGCCCAACATCTTCGTACATTACATTGTCCCGAGTTGTACGAGGGAGGGAGGGAGAAGAAAGTGGAAAGCGATGGAGCGGTGGTGTGGGAGAACCTCGGAAAGGCTTTTCTATCAGCATCTCCGAAGTTGTGGCATCATCTTCTGTAGACCCAATTCGATGTTTCCTGAACACACTTTTGACAACTAGAAGACGTAAAGAAAAGCCTCCTACGAAGCACCTGTGATACGATGATTGCCAAAGCAACAGTGTCTGGATTTTCCATGACTCTTTTGGCGAATGGCGAGACGACGCAAACCATGTGAATAAAGTACTCGGAGATATCTAACTCCCTCACTCCAGTTTTACCTCCAAATGTTCATTAATCATATGATAAACCGGACAGCGAACCGCTTTAAGCTGGTGTCACCCATGCGGTTTTCAGCCCCCGAGCACCACTTTCCAACCCCCGTCTCTGGAGCTTTTGATCGGAAAAGGCGAGGAGGGCTAAATGCGCAGAGCGGTCGGCTGAAAGCTGATTTCCGATGCTTTGGAATCCGAAAGATAATACGAGCGCCGGTACGTGTTGACGAGCTAAAGCGAGCTCTTACGGACTAAATAAAATATTCGGTGGTTCACGGGCGAAATGTCCAGGCCAGAGCCAGAGCCAGAGGCAAAGCCAAAGCCCTGACCTGGAGGGATGTGAATTGGAAGATTCGGAACTCCTGCATGGAGTCTGAGAGCGGAGTCTGAGGGGCAGCCCGGCGCCCGGCGCCCGGCGCCCGAAAAGAAACGCCAAGTCGAGATGACAGTGTGCGATCTGGAGCATAAACAAAGGGGAGGAAAAAGGGAATTGACACATGCGCATGATCTTTTTCATGCGCATGAGAACGAAAGCTGCGTCAGAGCTAGGCGAAGTGCCTACATGGCTAGATTTATACTGTGGGGTCGCGTAGGACGAAAAGAACAGGGGCATTCGGGAGATTCAATGATGCTCATCATGTTTTTCCAACTGGTGAGGCCAGCCAGCACGCAGCCGGAAACGGAGGTGCAGATTGTCCGGTCATTGGCCGGGAGGCAGAGCGAAAGAGCGATTGCATGAGGCGATCCCGCCCACTCATCCGCCCATCGGGCCGGCCTCGCGGATCCTTCCTCCCGTTCCAATGCAGTGCATGCATGAAAACTCGGCTCGTAGCCCTTCTGGCCTAGCTCAGCTCCCAAAGCCTGGGACAAACCCTGGACAGCCATGGAGGCCAGTCGGGCCGCAGGCACGGCTCCATGTTTGCGTTCCATGCCCATTGTCATGTTATCTATGCTGCTCCCTCTACGACCAGCAAACTTTGTTGTTTCTTCCCGCTGCACTACCTATCCATGTGCTCCACTGACAGTCGTCACATTCAATCAGTGTCGAGCTATTAACAAAGTCGAGGCAGCTGTCCCCGAGTTGGAACTCTGCGCAGATTCCCTCAGGGTTGCCGTATGCGGAGATTCGCCCTCCGCAAATCGCCTGCGCTTACTGGTAACACGATTATCTGAACGCTCCCTCTCGAGCCTTTTGCCAGGTTTTGGCCCTCGCTTAGTCACATCCAAAAGGCATCATTATTTCGCTCGCGACAATTTCGAGCTCGCGACGCAGATATTATCGACCCCGTGTGCCCCTTTTCTATTTAATCATTCCTTCTTCTTCTTCTTCTCCATCTTCTTCTTACCTTTTCGCTTCCGTTTTCACTCCCGTAACTCTCCGTTTCCTCCTGCATGGACGTCCCACGACATAATGTCACCAAAAGGTCCTTTTCCCACTGCGAGTCTTCCGCTCACAATGTCGCGAAGACTCCACTGTGACGATACTCATCTGCATACGTTACGACGGGGCCGGCCGGGGAATTTGGCAAATTGGTTCCAATCCATTTTTAGGGTTGTGACTCATTAGACACATCAGTAAGACAACCGTGTTCACATCAATCTGATGAACTTGGTAGAGGATGAGTGAGTGCTCGTGCGGACAACGACCGTGTATTTCACACTGTGCGTTAAGTGTTACTGGGTATTTATGTGGACACCGATCGTGTATATGATTGCACAGTTCGTGCTGTGCTTCAGTGTTACTTACTTTTCTTGTCACAGCGACCGTTTCAATCATCATTTTTCATTGACCGCGCAGATCATTCTGAGTCACTTGAGTAATCGTGTGGACAACGAAAGCATGGACGATTATGCAGTTTCTACTGAGCATCGTTCTTCGTGAGTGTTTGTGTTAACGTAAGCACTACGTACGTCGTGCACTATAACTCTGGTTTGTTAGGCAGTGACAATGCACAGCTAGACTCTGTGCCATGGTCGTGGACACTGTCAGTCCCCATCTGTCCACGCTGGGAGCTCCGGGCCATAACTGGCTAACCCTTTTACATAACTGGCTCAGAGACATCAAGATGTACAGAGATCGGATCCTCTTCACGACGTCGAACAAAATCTTTACCTTTCTCGTGTTTATTCCCATTATGCAGAGTTGGAAACCATGGTCTGAGTCAACTGGCTGCAAGTCGTTGTTTACAGACAATGACTTGCCGAGTTGCGAGTCTGCTTGAATGTCATCTGGCAGTCGGTGAGCTACTGTGGTACGTTTTCTGTAAGTTCGGACAACAGACTCCCTTCTGGCAACAAGAAGATGCACATGCATGAAAAAAAGGCTAAGTTAGAATGACACTACATCCTACCAAAAACATCCAGGTCTACTCAAGAGGATCATGCGAAGGTTCGACTGAGAGGACGAAAAAACTATGCTCCTTACTGTCGGACGAGGACTCATGAAAGAAGTGTTTTGGGAAATTCGGTATGGATCGCTAATTACTCTAGCCGGAAGATACTCGGTACGACGCAATTTCAACATTTCAAGACTTTTTTTCAACTGCACAGTATACATTCTTACTTTTGAAACATAAACGGATGCTTCTAGGGAATTTGCCTATGCATCTAAGTTTTGAGCTTCCTCTTCAGTGGCCTAGCAATAAGAAGATCATCATCACTATCGGACTCCCATTTCCTCTTCCCCTTTTGTTCTGAAACCTTGCTAGCACTCGCTTTACCATTCGAGACTGAGCTCTTAGCGGCTAGTTTGCTACTGGTATCTCTAGACGGTGTTGAATTCTTGACTGGCGTGCCGAAACTGCTATGCCCCCGCTTTTGCTTTTTCTCAAAAGCCTTCTTCGCCCGTTCTGGTGATAGCAGACCATGCTCCATCATCCTGCAAATAGCAATGATAGAGAAAGCTTCAATCAGATCTCTGAAATATTTAAAACGTCAACTGAATCTTCAAAGCAACTTCCGCATACCATAACCGAAGAAATTTCACAAGCATAGCAGTGGAAACAGTCGACCAAATTCAAAGTGACGATAAATTTCAAAACTGTATATCTTGTAGGAGAACTGTAGCAAGCTCTCAGACTGCTGGCTCTGGACGAGCTTGTTCTATTCTTACATCAAATCAAAATACAGAGCCCAGAAATTCGAGGACTCTCTTGAATCTTTTTTTCATTTTAATTTTTTAACTAGTTGGGCCTAGCTTCAATTTCACTGGGATACGAATTGAAATCCTATCTAAGGGTGAGAAAAGTTGAAACCAATTACCAGAATTCTGCCATTTCACTATCTGGCCTTTGTTCATGCAAGCTTTCGTAAAAGATACGGAGAGAATCCCTCTGCAAAATTGAGCAATTGTAGCTCAGTACCATTCCAACGAACACATGAAGTCAAACTCAAATATCAGGTATACGAAATCCGTTTTTAAATATCCATAGCTTAATGCGAGGCTGGACTAGTGGACTCACTTCTTCAGGAGCCTCATGCTTTTGTCCTGGCAAGGTAAAAACTTTCTTCTTCTCCTTCTCCTCGGTCTTGGTTTTCTTCGTAACTACCTTTGTCGTGGTACTTACAACACTAACACTCTTCTTCACGATCGCTTTCGCCCCACTTGTCGATGCCTCCTTCTAAAATTGCAATAAATGGTATTAGACTTGGTAATGCACAACCATCTTTTGTTATCATGGCCAAAAAGCAAATTTATCAATGTCTCTTCAAACTTAAAACATTCGGAAAGACTTCTTAGAAGTACCTTAACGTCGGATGCATCTCTTTTCACAATCGCCGATCCATTAGCTTTCATAACAGAAGCCCCATTAGACTTTTCAGTAAGTTCTCTTTTCACAGAAGATGTCCCATTGCCCTTGACAGAACTGACACTGTTTGGCTTTGCAAGAGACTTCACACCATTACTTGAGTGTCTCAAAGCTGAACCCTGTAAAAAATTACATTATCAAAGCGATCACTTCATTGTTTTCTACAGAAGCATCACCTAGTGTACCCTCGTTAGTAAGAAAAGGGAATAACGTCTTCCGCGTTTTCATGTGTATAAGAATCAAAGATTAGATATCTCAAGCGTTGGCTGAAAAACGTCAAATTCTTTTCAACAATCTTACGAGCACTACTAATATATTACTTCGAGGTTCTGAGTCGCTCGCAAAGAGAGGAGGTTCTCTTCTTGGAGAGATGATCCCTGGGAAAGAAGTGACCACCACTACATCTGCTCAATATTAGACAGATACAAGTATCTTGGCAGTTCTATTTGCAGAGAAAGACAACTGCACTTCTGCTCAGAGCTGGTTTGGTAATTTGTTGTTGAGAAATTTCGGAATATGAAACATATCCTTAATCTCAAGCATTGCATATCGTTCTTCGAACACGAAGGTTAATGCTAACCAAAATCAGGGGTTCAAAAGAAAAACGTAGAATTATTTGGCAAATACAGTATGGCATCTCAACGTTCATATGATGAGCACAGAACCGAAGTTAACAATTTGTAAAAATTGTTAATCTCTGGGGGGTGACCTGTTACTCGGAGGAGTTACTCAGGACAATTCCTGCCCAGATCTGAAGCTCTGTCGAAGAAAGAGCTTGATCACTTCTGATACTTTCGAAACCTCTCTGAAAAGTGTCTAATGGAGCAGTTGCAACTTGCATGCATATAAGTTCTCAAAAATGAACTTTCTGTGAAGGCGTTCCATGAAGTATTTTCAATCACTTCTATGAAAACCGCATCTTCATGAACATCTGAAATCCGGGAGCCCACACTGCACAATAAGATTGCTGAGCGATGTCCAGGGTTCTCCCCAGATTATTATTTGATTCTCATTGTATAAGACATGAAATTAACAAATTAGGTCTCAAGTGAGTGAAATGCCAAGGACTGATGATCAGAACAAAACCTCAAATCTTTCAATTTACGAAACAGAACACTTTTATTCAATCTTATTGTTTTCAGATACATTCGAGTACACTCAAATTTCATCATCGTTAGACTTTCGGAATGACAGACGTATGTCAAAGATGGAGTTGGCAATTGGATGAATTGCTGACTCCAAGCATGACCATGATACATTGAGTTGATTTTCATCTGCTCCAACAACTCCCGGAACTCAAGGATTTAGCCCTAGAGTGCCTAAGCAGACGAAGCACAGTCAAGGTTGTTTTCTGCTCGTCGTTACAATTTCTGTCGACAAGAGAGAGCGACGAAGCCAGTATTTAGGAAGACATACCTTGTCCCGCCAAAACGAATCGACAGATATCGAATCAATAGCAAAGATCATGACGGTGAAATTCAACTAGACATCGACGCAATCACGGGGCGAGGCCGCAGTCGTAGCATCCTACCTCGGTTCGTCTGTCGTTCTGAGATGAGAGTTCATCCTTCGGCTTCACAGGATTCCTACTTTGCATTTTGAGTCTAACAGACGTCCCAGTCGCGCCCTTTTCTCCTCCTCGTCGTAATCTTTGTTGTCTGCTCTCAGCGAACCACCAATTTCACAATCTCGTACTTCTTCCTTCGGTAGTAATTAACTTCTGCTTCTTCTGTCTATTGCCTAATCAGCGCCAAACCTCTTCGAATTGACTTCCGATACAAGAGCGAAAGAAATTCAGCGGCAAAACTTCAGACAGAAGAATAGCGGAATGGGAAATTGGAACGAGACCAGGTACCATAGTCAAGCCTACACGTCGGTCGCATACTGTATTTACATCCTACGAACCGCACGGTGTGAATTTTACGCGGTTGTTGTAAGGAAAGCCATTGCGTAATCATCAGTAAATATCCTCGTAGCGATTGGCTAAAAAAATTATTTCCAATGCCTCGCAATCTTTATGGTGCTTTCTTTAAAAACTTTTCATCTTTATCACAAGATTGCGGAGTCGCTTTCATGCCGAAACAAACGTTTACCAAACAGTCGCCAAGACTGTTAACGTAACGTTGAAAACATGTTCCGCGTTTATCCGACATGATTGTGGATCATATTCATTCAAAAGTAGAAGATCTTGGAGAAGTGTTGAGATAAGACAAATTCTACATAATTTTTTAGATCTCAACCTATTAACAAATTTTCAGAAGTCTACTTATTTAATCAGAATGTGAACTCTCAATTTTCGAATCAAAACTAACTAAATATATATATATATATATATATATATATATATCACTCCTTATTGGACTTCTCTGAATTATGGGATACTATAAGTTTTCGTGTATTCGACGGGTGAGTAATAAAAAATATTTTATATGAACTAGAAATTTATATTCTGATAGTGGAATGATTATTATTTAAATTTCATTTTGAATCATCAAGGTGTGTTTGCACTGTCATTATTCACGTATTATCCCCTGTGTAGCAGTTTTCTCTATTTGAATATTACATAATCTAATGCCTACAACCATCTACATAGCATTGTGAGACTTAAACTTGATTAATTAGATTAGTTATGGGAATTCATGCTCTTCTTTTACATAAAATTATATTTTAAAGTTTCTAAGATTTGTTTGATCATACAATAGTTTTTCTTTCGGTCTGAATGAGTTGGATCTGAAAATATTGAGAAATTTTCAAACTGCTTAGTATTTTATCCACGATAATTAGGTAGCAATATGTGGACAAAAGAATGAACATCAACACTTGACGAACCAGTTAATATAAAATTATCACTCCTCGGAAGATGATACATGTTCTCATCATTGGTCACTCGGTTCTTAAGATGTAATATTGCATGTTTAGACGTAAAAGCGAGTAGAGGTATACCATTGAACAAGTTTATGGTCATTATTACCAAGTCATAACATATCTGCTTCAAGCAGACATGTAGAGACCTAGAAAAAATCCTTAGTACCGTACACGATCGGATGGAATGTGTTCTTGGGCTCTGCCAATAGTGAAACATCTTCTCCAGATTGCTATATGACTTGGTTCGCCCAATTTGATGGAGAGATTCCATATATCTTGGGTTTAGGTTGTGAACATCAAAGTGTATGTTTTTTCTATTTATTTATAAGCTATTGTAGTAAATCGAATGTGCTTTGAATCTGACTTTCATGTCCAGAGTAGATGAGTAGTATAAAACTCCTTGTAATTTACACATATTTGTGAATTTCACATTGATTTAATGGATTGATTGAGCAAAGAACTTACAATGGCTATTGAACTTTTCTAATGGCACAATAAGTATTGCAATTTCACTGTATGTTAATGGTTACAGACTGGAAATTTTTAAATGCAAAAGGTCAGTTGTTTATACAGGTTTTTGTTAAACTTTATGCTTCTGTGTTAAAATTTAAAATTTAATCTATTTTTAAAAATGTTATAAAAATAAAGTATTGAAACCATCAAAATATTGCCAAATTAGATCAAATGATATTAAAATTTGGATTTCAACATAATGCAGTTATTATTTTAAACATTAACATTTTTTTCTGTACTCGAGTTTTCTTTTCCAAGAAATTTTTTTGAATGAATGCATTATTTTTCAATATATATTATTTTATTGATATATATTCAAAAAAATTTATACAAATATTTTAATTCAAACGATCTAATTTTATGTCATCATAATATATGCATTCTTAGTCAGATAATTTTACAAGAGCATGTTCACTAGACTCAATTGTGTGTTTAGCACCGTTAGTATTAAGATTTAAAAAGTTGACATTGTTGTTAACAGATCAAAATTTTGATTTCTGAAATATATTTGTTTTATAGAGCTTTTCTTAATGCAAGGTATTTAGTCCACAAACCTAGAGTTTTGAAGCACAAATTGAGTTTGGCTAGAAAATAGTTTTTTATATCATGATTATAGTTTGGAATTTTGATACCATTCTGTTAAATGAACATATTTTGATGACAATGGTTTTGAAATCTTATTGAGATATTAGTAGAATATTCTGTGGATTGTGTGACTTTATGGGGCTTTGACTAGTTGTAATTGTTAGTAAGTTTGATTTTAGATGGATTGTTATAATTTCATCATCATATTATGTAAATATAGGTTGGGTTGGCTTAGCTTACCAAATTTTTTGTATGTATTTAAAACTATGTCTTCATTTCTGATTACAATACTTCCATCTTGGCTTTGTGTTTAACAACACATTTCTTTGTTATTTCAATGTTGGTGCTTCAGGTTCAAAACTATCTTTCAACCTTATGTCTCTTTTATTCTTTTAATTATTTTATATCTCCTAGCGGTTTATGAAAAAATATTCATCTTCAGCAAATTTCATAGATCATATAATAAAAATATACCAAGGGAAAGAAGTGCAATTTACAAATGCCCTAAGAAAGTTATGGTTGAAGCGGGTCTACAGCCCCTTGCTATGACATAATCTAGTGCATTGTCTTTCTTTCAGGTTCTTATTTAACTTTTATTTTTTGGAAGATGTAAAAGATTACTTCAATACTAGGTCAGAGCTCCGCAACATTCGAATTCCTTGATTATTGCAACTTTTCCAAACTTCAAAAAAATTGAAAGTCCAAAATACATGACAAGTTGGTAACCGCAAGCAAACGACCTTGGAATGTTGTTGTTTTGCTCGAAGATGGCATGGACAGATGGTTGTATATAAAGTTTTATTGCGTTTTCAAAAAACTCACTATGTTGCAAGCTATAATGTTAGGTTTTACCTTGCGTATTTGACTTTAAATTATTACTTTTAGTTTCACTTTACCACATGAAGATATTCATAACTTTGTGCACCTTAACCTTCATATACCAAATTTGCAAAATTTATGCTACAAATGCTCATGTGATCATCAACTACTTTTCATCATATCACAACTCAATGCTAGTCTATGCGCATGGTAAATCTCAAACTACTAAAAGATACTAAGTACTTTCCAGTAGTAGCTAGTACCACTCTTCTTAATTGCTCTAAGGTTATTTCTAATCCTCGCCTTTTTTAGTCAGCGTCTACTTTGCCCACTCAAAGCTTAAATAACCATGTTTCCTCTTGATTGATTTTCCTCCCGATATCCATGCTCTATATCTTGGTAGTCACCGTCAAGTTGTTTATTTTTGTGTAATACATAGCACTAAAATCGCCACCGCAAACCACCTTAATATTTTAGAGTAAAAACAGTGTTGAGATACTTGCTTTAGCGTGAAATGGCATGTTTGCGTCACCATACTATTCTTTGACTTCGTAGAAATGGACGAGAAAAAGAGCAGAAGATTCTCATGAATTCATTTTATGTCCATGATCATCTGCTCACGCATGGTAATATTTCACTGTGATTTGGTGTAGAGACAGTCGCAGCAATAGCGCAGCAGCAGGTGTATGCCCACGATTTGCTTTGTTCATCACGCTACGTGGAATCGAAATTGACCGACAGTTCACGGTATGATCCATGCCTAGCATTCGGAGGAATTTATTTCATCAGCCCATGTTTATATCGCTTTTGGAAAAGAACCCTGTGGAGAAATTCAATTCTGAGGTCGCTATTGAGCTCCGTAGAGGTACCAACTATGTCAAATAATTAGAGATTTCATGTCTGCGTGATCAGACGTTGGTACTTTGGCATGAAACCTGACATGTTCCCTACCACTTTGATATTGCACCACAGTACTTTTTTCCGGTTTCTTGGCATAGTCTAGAAACTCAGATGCATCCTACAATCTGTTTATGTTTTTCAACTAACCACTCCTACGATTCTGGCCTCATGTCATGCCGAATGAATGCATTTGATAGGAGCCAAGAAACTCAAACTCAAACTCCAAACTCCAATCGAGTCTTATAAGTCTTGTTCATGGGTTTCTGGTTATTGATTTATATGAGGTACTCTATTTCTATATAACTCATGCAAGAATGAAATAAAAGAAGACCAAATCTCCTACTCACAATAGACTATGACTAATGATGAAGTATCAGAAATGAGTAACAGTTTTAGTTTGATTAACGTTGTGTCGGTGGAAATTCATCGTAGATATATGCTTAGAGGAGATGAGGTTGGATGTTGTGTTCATATAACAAAAGGTTGTTGCCAATGATAGAGTTGTGACAAAGACATAATCACAACATAGCTAGCCGCATTAAGTTATACGACTTTTGTTTAGACAAATGTGTTTAATCTGAAAAGAGAAATAACGTCGTTGAAGTTAGAGGCGCCAGCTTAGTTTGATGGATTAGCCAGAAAGTGCACTCAACATTTCTTGCAGAGAAGAGGAGTTGAATGGGTTGGAGATACTGATTCAGGTGATGGAATCGCATGTGATACAAAGTACACCCGTGATGCAGCCTACTTTTACCATATTTTCGACACGGCACTATTATTTGCAAAAACCACAAGTAATATGAACACAAGATCCGTTATCATAGACTCTAAGCATATATCTACAATGACATAGCATGTTCAAACCTTAATCTATTGCTCAATTCTTTTTCTAGATCAGTATTTATTACGAACCGAGATAACTTACAAGACTCAATTGCAGTTTTGGGTTCGAGTTTCAGTCATTCAATCAGCATTACATCGGGCAAAAATCATAAAAGCTCTTAGTTTGAAGGAGAAGCAAAGAAAGAAGTACAAAGCCTTATAGCTAGAGTTTTGGGATGCAATGTGTGTGAACCGGGAAGAGATCAACAACTACATGCGGGAGATGCAGTTTCAAATGAATGTATACCTTGAGGTGAGGTTTAATGAGTGGAAAGAGAAAACTCGCGGCAGATAGGGGAAAGCTTCATCATTTGAAATTAATCATTTGTAAAAGGTAATTAAAAGTAGCAGTGAGTAATTTCTCTAGAACGAGGAGTAGGAATTATGACGTTAAGATTTATTTGCCTTTCTAGTATTCAGTTGTTGTAATCTCAATCAAATAGTCAAATATTTGTCCATGAGTTGCGATTTCTGTCTGATTGAACAGAAGACTTATTCGTTTGTTTTGCCAAAACTTTGAGTTGTAAACAAGCAATTTATCTCAGTTTAGCACCAAATTCTTAAACTTTGTCGATTGTCATATGGCATTAATAATTGACAAGCAAAAGTAGGAGAGACTCATATTCTACGACTCTTTGATTTTGTGGAATCTAAAGTTTATAAGCAGGCATAAAATACATTAGTCATTGCCTGATACACTATTTGGATCCGTTATATTCTCGAATACTGTAGTCAAGACGGATTAAAAATAATCCAATTTACTAACATATGTGTGTCTTTCTTCACTATGAATAAAACGAGATAATGCCAATAAAATTCTATGACAATTTAATAATGGAGTCTTTGATATGTTAGAGATGTATTACTTTGCAGTGAAGCATTTCCTCGTACGTTGTCCGAATCATTGAACAAAAAAAAATCTGTCAGATCTTCTGCAGCAAATGTAGCGGCACTTTTCTGCGTTGTGATGTAAATTCATCTCCTTCATGAGAATGAAGGAGATGAATTTACATCACAACGCAGTTCGTTGTTTGGGTGTTTTGTTATATATCGCATAACCAACATGCATAAGAAGTAAGGAAGTGGTCAAGCAACTTCTGGTGAGATCATGGACTACCCATAACATTGAAACTCATGGTCTCAATCAAGATTTCAAGTTATTCTGGTATCATAGACCAAGAACTTGCAGCCGTCATAAGCCCCAAGTTGACAGAAAAAGTGTGTTACTATAGTCTGCAAAAAGAATTCATTAAACGTCCAAGCTCATTACCATTGACGGAGTACTAGACCAGACTCAGTGTGTCAAATACAATACAATTTCTACGTAGAGTCTCGCAACAGAAGGTGAGGTTCGCTGGATTTGAAGAACTCCTATGCTTCAGCACATGTCTAAGAGTTTTGCACATATACACATATACCCTTCATTCATTTTAAACCTCAATCTTATAGGATCTCAACTTACTTGAAGCACGGACAACTCGACTTGTTCATCTACTAGGGAAATGTAACATACTCCACACTAATGAACTGTGTGTCGAAAGATCCGGTCCGAAAAGACCACTATAAAATGGTCGTCATGGAGTTTGCAAACAACTAAGCAATATACATGGAGGCTTTTGTTGTGAAACAAAGCCAATTCAATGCAGAAGAAATTAAAGTTTTTCATTTCCTTTTCTTCGCTTCGTCAGAAGGTGATGCATGCACTACCGAACTTGTTCGTCCACAACCAGACCATCTGATGACATTCTACAATCTTGAACATTCTCCTGCAAATGCTTCAAAACTTCTCTACGAAGACCTTTAGCCTTGAATGATCGGGACAGATTGAACATCTCCCACATATTGTCAAGGCTGATCTTTGTGCACAAGGCCTTTTCACAGAGCTCTTTCAGGTGCTGGAGCCCATAAAGGTGGGCAACCTTCAAAGCCTTCTCTGGAGTAACTTTATCTGTAAAGCAAATGTCGTCTGTGTAGCAGTAGTTTATTACAGCCCGAATCAAAGGGGATTCATTTTGATCTTCTACTTGACTCCTCGAATCGCGCCTCCCCATCCACAACGAAGGATTCTTGAGAATCCCTGCCTATCATAATCATTTCGAAGTCAGTCCATCGTATGGTTTCAGTGTAAGGTGTAGATCCTGATCTTAAACACATACATACAATTAATCCTAGATATCAAGGTCAGGAATTGAGCAAGCAAACGTGCTTAATGTGAAAAAATTAATTTTACATTAAGTTTATTCTGGCCTGGCCTATCAATTGACTTCAAGTTGGAAACCAGCCGCCACTTTCGATCAGGTGAAATTGAATGTGCATCAGCTCAGCTGCAGGATGGCTCTATGGGGCACTAAAGATTATTTGCTCCGAAATTTGATTGCAATTCTATAATGTCTCCTCGTGAGTATTTCAGGCTGACTAAATGCCAAACGTGATAATTGACTGGCTCTCACCGCGAGGTACCGACGAGCTCGTTCCATGGCCGTCGTGCATGCTCCTTGTACGATGCCAACGCCGGTGTCTGATGCTGGAGAATTCTCCGAATTGGAAAATTTGCTCTTCAAATTCAAGTCCATCGTTTTCAAGAACCGGAGCCTTCTTTGAGTCTCTTCCAAGTTGAATGTCAAGTTCGTGTTTTCGAATCTCAGAGCCGCCAGCTCGGCCTGCAAACTACTCACTTCTGTCTCGTGAGCAGATTTTTGTGTCTGAAGAAGCGTCTTCAGAGCAGCTGATTCCTGTTTCGCCTTGAGCATCTGTTCTTGGTGGAAACCCTTCATCTTGTCCAGGAGATCCGAAGTAGGAAATCTGAAACACTCATGACCGTCGTCTACCTCTTGATCGAGGAATATGAGACAACCTTCGCCGTCGAATTCCAAGCAGACGTCGTCGGATTCTTCGTCATCGTGATCTCGCTTTCTCGCGTAGGACAAATCTGGTATAACGAACTGGAATTTGGACTTCAGAGGACAAGAAAGACAATCTGCCGGGTCTTCGCACCTCGTCGAAGGGACGTGGATCTCGAACGGAGAGGCTAAAGCAGCCACTCCTTCGCTCTCGTTAATGTACGCGCTGTGGCGATCCCTCATGGCGTTGGTCACAAATTCGAGCTCGCACTGGGTGCAAACTGGCTCCAGCGCCCATAAAACTTGCTTCGCCCAAGGCATGTGGCGAGTAAAACCCCCTGCATGTCATGCAAAGCTCTCGTCCGCTCCGAACGCAGCGTGAACCTTGTACATGGGTGTCCAAGAAACCATTGAGCTTCCAGTTCCTGCAAATTTCAACCGGGACTTGTAAGTCTGATTTGCAGCAGTCAACTCGAGCTCATTGAGCTCCTGGCACGTATGAACTCCTGTCATTCTGAAATCTGCGGTAGTGCAGCAGTACAAGCTCTAGCAAATCGCAATCACTACTGAAACCACCAATCCCGCCTGCTATCTAGAGCCCTGCCTGCAGCAGCAACCCTACGTTCAAGACTCACATTCTAGACTGGTGCATCGTTTCCTCATCCTACCAGTCGTGATCTCACAGGGGACTGTCCTTGCTTTTGGTCACGGCTCGACCTCCTCTTCCCTCATGCATGCATGCAGATCTTAAGACTCAAATCGTTTGCGCGTCTCGTAAAGTACACGGTTACTGCTTTGCGAGCCAGGAGCGGAGCAGATCCCAACATTCTTGAGCGCACTTCTTTCATCCATGTATCAGATTATGATCTTTTCGATTATACATTTCAAGCTAAGTACGCTTGCGGTTCCGGTTGTCACGTTTCTCTGATCGACAGCATTGACGGCGCTGCCAACATTGCTACCCTGTGATTGACTTTCGTGCTGGAGGCATTCGGAGCCGTGGACGGCTTGCATTGTGCAAGTCATAATTATGCCGCACTCGAGCTTACTTTGTGGCTCAACCACATCGTGGTCTTTTCTGCTTTAGGATCTCGTATAATCATGATGGTGATTTTGTTCACTGAGCTTGACGTCCTCATATAGTTCAGGAGATCGCGCTGCTGTGATTCATTTTCCGCAGACGAACTTTCGTTTACATCGAACAGAATGTCTCCATTCGCTGTAAAGCAAACCAGCTTTCATCATTCTGACTGTGAACCATGGCTGCAGGTTTAGCCTGAAAAGCGTTTCACCATATTCGACTGGAAACTAAAAACATGGTGAAATGTCAAATCACACCGGGACCACTATTGCAGATGCTTGTTGGAGTTCTCCTCGATCTCGGCTGAAAGTGAGATGTGGAGGCAGTCTTATGCTCTTTCAGACTTTGCCAAAATCTACTGTCGAGAGAATCTAAATACCGTTGACTGACGCAGTCATTTAGCCGCTAAAATTGCAACATTGTTCAAATTCTGGTAGCACACGTTAAGGTTTGAAAGCAGGTAAAAAGCGTTAGCAGAGGCGTACTGATGCCGAAGGAGGGAAGGAAACTCTCGAGATACGATGTTGGTTGATAAAGAAAGAGATCTTTATTGACAAAAGACCTGCAGATATTATTTCGAGAAATGAAAAAGCACATCTACATAACCGTATACTACTCATGGCGTTGACCACCAATCTCTGTTGCTGATGTCATAACCTTGAATATTAGACGACGATATTTTACCTGTAATCGAAAGCATGGAGCCATATGACTCCTATTTGATGCGAATCAATGAGATTTGTTTGATTGATGCAATCTTAGAGTCTGGCGAGAGCAAGACCTGGATGATGTTTAAACATCTGCAACGAATATTGTCAGCCTCAGCTGACAGATTCAACAGATTGTGAGACAGGAGTTATTTAGAGGGGAGGAATCAGAGAATAGTGATTGTTACCTAGTTAGAGGCCAATTCAAGATCCAGAGTTCCCTTGTGCAAGCAAGGAGGTATGGGTGTATGCTCAGGATGAGCTCGGACACAGAGGAGATCGAATGAAGCTGTACGTGAAATTGAAGACCTAAAAGCTACCCGAGCTTATGACTTCGGTGACACTAAATCATATGTGGAATCTTTTAACTGGGATTTTGAACAACTCGCACTTGGAAGACAAAATCCGATGCAAGCAAATGAAATCATACAGGCTGCAGAAAACCCCACTGACCAAAGATCTCAGGCACACGACACGGTTTCAGGCATAGACATGCACTCAGAGCTGATATAGAAATGCTGTTATCGACACTTCTAGTCAAGGGTCGACACTCTCATAGACGCTGGCAAACGTTCATGAGAGTGTACAGTCGATAAGAAGTTAATATTCAAACAGTTCGAATGAACTTCATAGTCGCTATGAAAGAGCTACTGTCAGGGGAATTTGCAGAAACGTTCAGTAACTGCAAATGCCCACATTGTAACCAAGAGGTTCCAGCTCTCGCTTGGTAGCGCAGTTGCTTCTGAAAGCCCTGAGTCTCAAGCTAGTCACATCTCTGAGCAGGCCTCGTGTGCCAGTATTGCGCAGATGCTTCAGCACCAGTCTGAGATTTGCTTATTACAGCATGAACTGATGTGTGCCTTTCCTCAACTCTGTAGGTTAATTTATAATGACATACTAATATACTGTCTCTAACCGCCAAGTAAGTGTAAGAGGATGTTAACCCTCCATGTTAATTCCAAAACAAAGAGAGACCCGTGAATGGAAATCGCAGATTTGAGTTACTGTACCCGCAACTCACCCGTTATTCCTTAGATCACTATGCACTACACATAACTTACTAAATGCATCTATTATACACGTGTAGTATGGCATCTTTTTCCGCTGTCCACGTAGATAACCATGATAAATTCTCCATAGCACAATTGCACTTACAAGGTTTCCCAGCAAATTCCTTATTTAGATGCACTTACAGATCGTATGAAAGCATTCCTTAGATGCAACCAGGGAGTCTAGTCCACAGTTTTGCACTTAAGTGTGGACATTATTATATATGTACCTTGAGAGTGCTTGAACTTTCAGGCGCTCTCATTTCATCTAAGAAACATTAAAAAAGTCAATGTCAGTCAGCACGCAGATGTGGTAGACTCTATAGAGAATATGAAGCTCCGCATCTTTGAATAAATCCACCTTCTTCGAACTACCAAGGAGTTTACATCTATCTAGATTGTGTACTCTCTCGGTCACTCTGACTGAATAGATGCCTCTGGAACTGAGAGTGATTTACAAGTTTGTATACAATGTAGTCACGTATACACCAAAATGTACACACTTTTGACAACTTTACTTACTCGTGATTAGAGTATGTCACCGAGGCTTCTTGCCCGTTTGGCCTTCCGCACAATATGCAAAATTCAAACCAAAGTTTAAAACCGACTATGCGTTTCAGAGCGAATGTGTCACAATTTTTGGATTTTATAATGCCGAAACTAAATTGTATATTGATTTCATTCCCGAATGACATGGGTACTAGAACTGAAATTTTTCGATGTATCCAATCATTTCATTTTTTGTATAGATAGTGCAATTGTAACCCAACAAAATTATTACAAATAGTAAGAGACAACTAAGTCTAATACATAAGTCAAATAAATGAGCTTGCATGCCAAAGATATCACTTACAAACACTGTAAATTGAAGACATAATGAAAATCAAGGGTGTAGAAATATACAATTTACAAAAATTAGTTCATAAACATAATTTATCCTATAGTGTATCATCATAAACATAATTTATCCTATAGTGTATCATCATTATAATTGAATTTATTTTAGATTTTTTTTTTGAAAAAAATATATTTGCAGACTAAATGTATATTGGAATACAAACTTGATTTAATGTCATCTTAGTAATAAAAATAAAATATTGTAGTGTTGATGGTTTTGAGATTATTTGGTACAGCCTCACACTTGATAATCATCATGAAAAGTTGCAGAATATACTTAAGAAAATTGTATTTGAAAATATTTATGTATATATTGTGCACTCAGTTCAATCATATCATATCATATCATTTGGAAGAAAATCATTTTTGCATGTAAATTATAGTATATTGATAAAATTCAATAGAAGAAATAAAATTCAAATCAATAATATCATACATGAGAAGAATGATTTTATTCAACAATAGAACAAAATTTTGCAAAATAACCTCAACACTCATCAAATTCATATTCAAAATATATGAAAAAATCATAATATAGATATATCAAAATCAATTCATATTCAATGATATGAATTGATACACATGCAAAATGTTCAACAATTTGCATTTGTGACATGATGTATGATCAAATTGTGTCAAACATGTGATTATATTATAGTCAAAAGACCTCTCACTGACTTATCATATAATCTCAGATTAACAAATAAAATATTTAAAAACATTTATACATGAATTTAGGTAAATAAAAACAAAAATAATGAATCCAACACAAAATCTAGCAAATTTTTGCAAATTTTACTTTTTTTTATTGTTCTATATGTTTGCTTATGGAAGATTTCAACATATCAAAACTGGGTAACCATTAAACTTTAAACTTATCAAAAAGATTGCAAATAAAATTTATACTATGAATAAAATGCCAGTCAACTCTTGCACAATAATCTCATTAAATTTTTATATGTTTTTATATAATTTTTTATATGTAAATAAAACTAGCCTAAAAACATCAAAGCATTTGACTACAAAATTATTTCTTTAACTTTTTGTGAAAGTGATACATTTCAATATGAGGCTTCAACCTAATTGATTTTTAGCGATGTCACATAAAGTTTGGGGCAACCTGAAGTTTTATTCTACAACTTCAATCAATTTTTCCATATTGCTGCAATTCATTTCGTTTTATTCTACAACACAACTTATACATTTTCATGATATTGAGTGCCAAATCTAAAACAAGTCTCAAACTTATTTTTTAATTGAATTATAACTTTTAAGCAAACGTATGTTCAAATTCATTTTTTTATTAAAAAAATAAAGATTCTACAAAATATGTAAAATTATACTAATTTTTTAACAATTGGTTATAATTTTGCATCTTCATATGAACTTTTGATTACAAATTTTTATTCACAACTAATACAATTGGATTCAATTGTATTAGTTGTGAAATATTTGATTGCACTATTTCACATACATATTTGTTTGAATTTTTTAACAATCAAATTTAGTGAAAGCTTGAACATAACACAACAATCATTTAATATTTTTATTCTAATAAAAAATATTGGTTAAAAATCAAATTGTTTGATCATAATGACTTAAAGAATATAAATCTAAATTGATTATCAGCTACATTTTTTCATTTCCATTTTGTATCAATATTTACCAATCAAACCTCATTTGAAAGTAATTCAATTACTTCATTTTTGTGACTAGCATAAAAATCAAGACATAAAACTTTTAATAAAACAGATAAAAAAATCTTCTTATTTAAAAGTTTTTTTTAACATGCAAAGTATATTTAAACATTATCACTTAAATTTCAATTTTAGATCAAAGTTTTATCCTTATTTATAATTTTTTTTCATCATCTATTGATCAAATTTTGCCTTATTGTCAATGCAAATCTATTGAAGTTTTCTTTTCTTCAATGTTAACAAAAAAACTGACTTATGTATAATGCATAAAAGCGTGAGATTTTATGCAATATATTTTAAAAATTTTTTTAGACAAATGATGGATTTCATTGTAAAAATACAAATACACCGTTGCAAAACCTGGCCCATGGGATCTAAGCCGGCGACAAACATTTTTGTTGTTTTTTACCTCATACCCCACATGTGAAACTACTCTAGTTCACACAAGTCTGGCTCGGGGTGGAATTGGGTGATTCCAAGTTACAACTTCCTGCGATACTGTACAAAATAACGATGAGCTTCTCCAGGTCGTCACGAATGATTGGAGATGTCGTGCTCGGACCCTTGGTTGAAAAGTCGGCGGTCTTAGACTCCTCTCGTATGCAATGGGCGCCGTATCGATCAGGTTATCCCATATGGTGTTTTTGAGTTTGGAGACGGATCATTGATGGGTCGAGAACATTGCTGCGTTTATGCGAAGCCAGATCGTCCATAGTACCAGACCTCTCATTAATGCCCACAGATCCGTCACAGAAAGCAGGTTGGTGGGAAGATTGTCGTCCAGTACAAAATGAGCCCACCCCAGACAAGTCCATGGCATCGAGATCTCTGGAAAGTTGATTGCTTGATTAACATAGTAAATGCGAAGTCCCATGCATTCTTGGCGGTCACACAGTCGAAGAAGCAGTGAATAAGAGATTCCGGGGTGTCTTGGTCGCAGCAGGTATAGTTGGCAGATGTCTGGGGTGACTCTGATGTCTCCAAGAACTGACAGCGATCGCCTTATGGAACAAGCTCGAGAGAAATGCTGGATACTCTCCGGTCGAGCCACCATCTATATTTCAATCGGCGAATTACTTGTCTCCCTTCCTTGTCAACTTCTACAGAGGTATGGGGTTGTTGACCGCAGCAGAACATAAGAGATTCTCGCTCCAAACGCATGCGGTAGATGGAGATGAGCAACTGGATGTCAATGAGTTCGATACAGATCAAGAAGACAAATTCTAAATAATGAAATTTTTTTACAAAAGTTGAATGAATGCTTTGAGAGCTTACCGAGTGCATGATTCACTTGGTGTACTTATTTGATTTTCTGTGAGTAAATTTTTAACATGTTGTGTATATGTCAGCAAAGTGCAGTCAAAGTTATCACTCTTGCATTCTCCGAATTTTCATACTTGGTAAAAACAAATTAACTTTTTAATCTTACACATTCATCAACAGTACAGTAGCTAACATGTCACTGCAATGATACATAGTTGACCGGATTATGAATATAGAACCTCGTCTACTTGAAAACATGTTCATAGAAATTTGATTGAAGTTAGATACATGCTAGAAATAATCATGCTAGAACTTTATGTAAGTTGAAGCCACTTCTCTCTAACAATATGGTCAATTTCTATTTAAGAATATTGTCCGTCCAAATGTCGATTTCCAAAGTTCAATTTCTCTCTAAAAATATTGTCCGTCCAAATGTCGATTTCAAAAGATGCATCGGCCGGGAATCGAACCCGGGTCTGTTCCGTGGCAGGGAACTATTCTACCCCTAGACCACCGATGCCATCGCTCTGTCTTGCGAGCTGAGCATCGCCGCTGCCGGGGATCGAACCCGGGTCACCCGCGTGACAGGCGGGAATACTCACCACTATACTACAACGACTTGATGACAGCGATTTAAAGAATACCTTAGATGTATAAAAACTCAACATAAAGTCTTCGTAGATTGTCTTGTGACAGTCGGTGTTGCGTTTCAAGCGCGTGGCGAAGTAACAGAAACGTCAAATAAGAGAGTTTATCGATGCGGCCAGAAAAGCTACGATCCATGGCCGTTACACGATCTCCACTGAGGATCTCGGAAATTCATCTGAGAGTAAATGCTCGAGTATCAGTCTCGATAGTAGAGAGTGAATCAAGCACCATGTTGCGAGTCTAACACTCTCAACCTGCTTGTTAAAGATGGGGTCACACCGCAGTGATTGTATCTTACCAGCACCATCTCTGTGCATACATCTCCCCACAAGAAAAAAGTGATTAGTGAACACATGTCCAAGTATTCATCAATTTAGTTATTTACTTTCTCCATAGCCATAAGTTTCTGTACATGAGCAGTTGGCCGTATTCTCTTCTCTATGCAACCTTTCCCAGAACACCAATCTCAGTCCTGTATACAGCCCAAGCCTGTCAATGGCTTCCTGCGCTTCAGATTGTGCTTCGTGGTTTATATACCGTCCCTTATGACAACTAATGACCGAGCAAGAACTTAATCACCACCTCGAGACATGGAGTCCAACTTCCAGAATGATCATTAAGACCCTGGCACAAATTGTCAGTGCCATAGGTGGCTCTCTAGGGTGTTATGGGCTTTTGTTGCGTTTCCATTTCCCTTCAGTGGAGGCCGTCAATTATGCGATGTACGTTGTAATTTCCCTCATTAGTTCCCTTTCCACGGCCTTCATCCTCTTTCTTGCGTTCCTCCTCCGCTGAGCACCTAAAATCAAAACATCTATTTAAAAAAAATTACGACCGACGTCATTCTCTACTCTAGGGGCGGCAACTGATTCATAATGATGACTAAACATTCGACGTCAAAACTTGTCGTCATAACTTTCAAGATGGAGGAATCCCCTGGGGGAGCAGATTAGTTGTGACTGTAGTTTACCGTTCCGGGTAAGAGTGTTTACAGAAACGAGAGCCATCTATTTCGGGTGGCAGCAATCACGCGGTTGCACTTGTGCACCACTCTCACCAAGTCTGTAGTAAGTAGTAAGAAGCCAAAGGCGGTGGATGGCACGGTGGAGACTGAGACGTGCATGAGTAGCAAGGAACCGTCTCCCCGTCGTCCTTTACAAAAGATAACATACAATTGTATGCGGATCGCAGTCTCGTAGATTTTGAAGCTAGGATATGCTCGAGATCAAAGCCGGCCACTGAACGAAGCCCAGGAATGTGTATAGTAGGTTGGACAGGCTGCATGTGCTCAAAAGCTGAAGTCTTTTAAGCAACGTAGATATCAGTGAACAGCCAACTGCCAGAAGAAAAGACTCATAAGGAAGATAGTGATTTGGAATCAAGGATATGAGATGCGACACTTAAACACTTGAGAGTCGGATGTGGTAGTTACCCAGAATCGATCATTTCAACAGCGAACTGATCATGAACACTGGGCAGCAACATCTGCCCGGGATCGCTTACTTCCACCTTTGTAACTCAATGACAGTGATCTATTGTAACTTGGAACTTAAGTGGTTTGTGTAGGAGTATAGACAGACCCGTTCTCAAATTATGCTTTCTCAGTAACTCTGGACTGTTAAGAGTCAAGCTTGTCTCTACATTGAAGTCACTGGACAAGGGTGATCAAATTTACATTTCCTTGTCAAATGGAATCCCACAAAACCGTGGAGATGCCACACATTCTATGTATCCTCGGTTGCTGTTAACGATCTCGATAGCAGATGATCATTTATAGGTAAAAGTTTTGAGAGGAATGGACAGCTGACAAACACGGTCCATGACCAATTTCTGCACATGCACGGCACATACAAATCGATGTGAGAGAGAAGATCCCAATTCAAACTTTGTCAAAATTCTAGACGAAACAAGGGCGGATCTAGAGTGAAAGACTTTGACTACAAGACAACGATCTCAGGCAAGTACATCTTACATGGATATGTCGCGTTACTCTCCCGCACACCTGTTCGTATGAGGGAAATACACAACACAAAGGTTTGGATAAATACGCTGGAGACAGAAACGACAGATTTGCGATACTTGGAAACCACAGTTCAAAAGATACACCTACGGACAGATATAAAAAAAAGAAAAAGGATTCAGATGAAAGAAGAAGTAAAGTAAAGTAAAGTACGGTATGAGAAAAACTCTACACACAGAAGATCAACTAGACAATCAGATCTCTGGTGACGCTAACCTCCAAGTTGAAGCTTTGCCATTCGGTTTCTGTGAACAGCTTGGGGTCCAAGCCTTGAGTCCAAGGCTTGAACCCTGAGGCTGGCATCTGAATGCTTGTCACGGGTTGAAGAATCCGCAAACCATCTGCCAACAATTACAAGCTGATCAGAAGACTCGGTTGGCCATATCCGCTCTCCTCTGCAATCTTTTTAAATGGGAGATAACTTAAACCTCTACAGGTGCATACAAGAGATCTCAACAAAACATTGCTCGACTTAATTGTGTATGAGCATGAGGAGAATCCAATATCGGATCAACTTTCAACTGCCTACTAGCAAATATACAGGGTCGAACAGATTGCGCTGTACTTGTTAGAAATGCCTCCCTCCACGTGAGATGGCTAGACCAGGATGGTGAAGACTCACGAACCAGTATTCCTGCTTCGATGCAGACCCTGTAAGTCCAGGAGGTTACTAATATCCTCTAAATAAGAACTCAGATCTGCGACATGTCCTTGCTCATAGTGGTTCATGACGGTCTTGATGGACTTTAGAATCCAATTTTGAAAATATCTTGACATCCGCCTGTCAGATGATGGGTACCTATAGGGTTTCCTGTTATGCCTAGCAGATGTAAAGTGGCTTGCATTCTTCGACCTTTCCTTACCCAAATCCTTCCAGACGTTATGAATAAGATGATGCAGGGAATATCGCCTCTCAAAACTAAACCTGCATTTGCTACTCAAACGATCACTGAAGAACTAAAGTTTAAAGAAGTTCCGAGAATTTGGAAAGAACGCACAGCATAAAGCCGATAACAGCCACTTCTTATTTACTTATCTAACAGGAAAACTATTCAGTTTATCGTTCCTTTTATTCCATGCATCTTTTCTCCTTATGCTAAGTTACCTACCTATTCATCTGTTTATTTAGAGATAAACATAGGCATTTCTTCGATGAACCAGAACGACTGATACTTGTTACAAGGCAAGAGTATATATGGAAAGGAGAATAACAAGCACTCTTACTCGATCACCAAGTTTCTCATCACGCCGGGCAAAACACCAGCACTGAGCGGTGCAGTCAGAACCTCATAATCAGTCAACTGAAAGCGAGAATGGTCGTCACTTTCAGCTGCTTTCTGGTGGTTCTCCTCATTCCAAGTCTTTGAATCTCTGCACAACTCGTACAATAGGTTCAAGATGAAAGAATTGAGATTTCAAGCATTGAAAACTACAGAAGACGGTAAAATGTAGAGCACTAAAGATTGTTAAGTATTACTCTATTCAAGTCATCTTGAAAAGATCGCGTATGTTTTCATGAATTATATATATTACTCAGGAATTCTACGATATGCATAGAGTGTTTCCCTATGTTGACTACAAAACAAGCAAACTGAAGCTAGAACTCTGAGCATAAGCTGCCGTTTCGAACAAATTCTCTAGTGCGCCAATAGTGAAGAACGTGAATAGAAGTTAAGACAACAGATTACCTGACCTTCACTACGAAAAAGTTTGTCAGTGTTCCCTCCAGTAAAGAGTCTCCGTCGTTTGATAAAATGATCTCATTTATGTTGGAAGGTTTCACATTTTCGAGAACCTGACGGGTACTACAAACAATTGAAGAAACAATTGTTAAGAAAAAATATGTCAGTCCTCCACCTCATCTTCCATACATTTTTGCGCAAAAGACCAACGTGTCTGACGATGTCTTCAGGTATCAACGAATGGATAGCAGTTGACACTGCTGGACAATCGACAGATAGCCATGAACTGACAGTTCTATATGAGAAGTTCATATGAGCAGTACTTAGTACTTGTACAGTCCATGGCAGCACAGATAGAAGAATGACATACTAGCAACAATTTTTACGGACGGTCCTTTTCAACTCTTATCCGAGGCTTGTACATGGATGCGCAGGAAAATAGTACCTTGCCCACAACGAGTACTTTGCACGAGCTAGTTCACGCCCAGGCCCCATGACAGCCACCCGCGCTCCAGGAAGAATTTCATCTCTGTTGACAGCTCTGTAGTTAGAGGCATGAACATAGACTTCGCAACCACTGCTATCCTGTGCACACGAACAGAAACAGAGGCATGATGATGCTAAGAAGGTCAGTGCTCAAGGTCCTTCAACATGAGAGTGATAGATGTACAACTATTATTTCTCGAAAAGATGAACAATGTACTTGCACCAAAAGTATCATGACACTTCGAAGTATCTCACTGTAATAATTATAGGTGGGAGGAAAGTTAATGAAATGGGAATAATACCTGTGCCTGTTCTTTCTCAGAACCACAGAGGAGAACCGTGAGGTTGATTTCCTCCTCAGCTCTTCTTAGCTCAATGGATTTGGCAAGACTCTCTGCTATGGAGGGCAGGACTAGCTTCTTAACATCTATGCCCTCCCTCAGATGTGGATAGAGATGTGGAGAAGCTTGGTGAAGGAGGCTCAAGGACTCGGAGAGTCGTGCCATATGCCGTTCCCAAAGAAGAAGACTGGATGCTCCATCCAACGTGCGCGTCGTCGTGTATGCACCTGAAGGCTCGTAGCGGTATACATCAATGTCACTCAACTTTGGAATACTGTATACTTGGAGGGTGTGTTTCAAGTGATGATAATGTGCTCAAATCCATTATATAGTTTCCCACCAACTCACCGTATAAGACTCACAACTCAGATTATTTTAAAAATTTGCATAAAATGCATAAGCAAAATCGATCAGCTATTGACCAGACAACGGGGACCTCCGTGGATCTGGTATTTTAGCCAACAGAATGTCAGTGTTAGCTAGACTATGCAGTGCGTGAAGAACCAGAGTACCGGAATGACAAAAGTAAACTCACAGTAGTGACGATATTTGGCTATAGGTCTCTAAGTTGCACGAGCGACATGTTTAGGCATCTCTTTTGAAGGACGGAAGATCGGAAGATTGGTGTCTGCAATTGCTAAGTGCAATTGCAGCCACCACTTTTTTGAGGGCAGTCAGAAATAGTGCACGAAAAATGCAAGAAGAACAGAAAGAAACCCCACGATCCGAGATTACCCGGTGTGGATGCACGGAGAAATGCTGCAGCAGGCCCCGGATCAGTGGTCAGAGCTACACCACCATGAACGAGGACGCGCCATCCTTCTGCCATACTCTCCTCGCCTCACCTCACTGCATCTTCCACGGGCCCTACTTAGATTTACCCAAACACAACACTGCAGTTGATTTGAGATTGTGCACAAGGTTGTCAGGCGAGACACTCTCTTTCAGCCATCTTGACTTTCATACAAGACTGCGGACCTAGTTTGTGACTGTGTGTGTGTAGGTCTGGAGAGATCTGTCCTGCAATCGGAAACAGAAATATTTCAGTCTCCGACAGCATGAGCCTTTCCTTAATGAGCTCCCTAACGACTGACCACATGAGTCCCTACAAGTAACTTGTAACTCGCTGCTGTAGGGCTTCGAAACCAAAACCAAGGCCTTCGTCTGTCCATCAGGAGCTCATGATCTGAGGGAAGTTCGCTCTATATTCGATGTGATGTTCCATAACCATATCTCTAGCTTCCAAGGCTTTTGTGGTCTGAACACCTGGCCTGCTGTTATAGCTGAAGCTGTTCCAAAATAGTAGAAATACTTGTAGAGATCCGAAGAATGAAGCTCACCTGCACAACTCAGGAAATCAAATTGGGATGATATCGCGATATGGACGACCTATTCATTGGGCTTGGAAGAGGTAGTGTTTCTTCGCCACTAGAACGTCTGGTGCCACTCGTTTTGTAGAACTTGAAAGCGCCCACTCTGTGTTCAATATGCACATTCAGTTATTTTGGCCAGGTCCTGACATCGAGCCTGCGTGCTCTCTTTTCGTTCGTCCTGTTATCCATTCATCACCTGCTACCACGGTCAGCGGCCTCCTTCCTCTTCGAGAAAACGCTCGACGGCCATCTCGATATCGCCGGCCGGAAGTACGCCTTTGTGCTTTCTAGGTCACCGACATATTCACGAGTCAACGTCGAAATTGCTTGGGCACACTTCTTCGTAAGCCATCGGTCGATTGAAGACCAGACTCAACTGTCAAAGACCGATCAATGAACCTGTAGAAGAGAGCGCAAATTTCTGATTCAAGTGCCCTCCCGTTTGGTGTTCTCCGTGAGCATCCATGCCACGAAATTCGGCAGAAAGTTTCGAGTAGGAGCTCAGCTATCAGGAAGGGTTGGAATTCTTACCAAAAGGCTTTTGTCCCCAGGGCTGTGATTCTGCTTCCTTACTTTTCCGTCACGGTGAGACGAGTTCTCGCCAACTGCAAGTCTCCACATACCGGAGCTAATTTTCACTATGCTGCTTCCAGTACCAGATTCTCTCAACGAACAAATTCTAGAGCCTTTCTTACATCGTGAACTTGAGGCCCTCGAATAATATTCAACCAACTAAAGCCGGAAACCTGCGGTTGGGATTCCGAATTTGCCACATTGTCAAGCGGGCTTGAGATTGTTTACGAGGGGCGATATATACAAGCTTTCTCGATTCGTGTTGAAATTTCATTCGAATAACGAGGGAAGTGATACGGTGGAAGGCGTGAGGAAGAAGAAAGCAGAAGGAGGTTGAGATTGGCGTAAATTCAAGTTTTCATCGAATAAAGAGAAATAATGTCGAAGATCATGAAAGAAACATTAATAAAGGATTTCAAAGGTCGGGGTTTCATCGACAACGAGATGCGGCGCGAGCGAGTTCAAGTCGTTGTGCGATGCCGGCCTCTTCATCCACGAGAAATATCAGACGGGCGAGTCAGTTGTGTGACGGTCGATACCCAGCGTTCCACCATTCAGGTTCGTATGGAGTCCACGAATCTTCTTCCGCTGACTTGCAACAAATTTGTTATTGGATTCACAAGCGGCAACCTCAAAAAGCAAAGGTTGCTGCATCTCTCAACTGAGCAGTCTCCTCTCTCGGTTTCTGTAAGAGGTTCACGAGTTGGAAAGGAATTCTTAGACCATGCACCAGCTACGAGATGGAAAAGATTCATGAGGAACTCGCATAGCTACCTGATATCGAGACGGTAATTGGGAAAACAACTCACAAGTTTCACTGACGTGACAAATGTGGCCACTTTTGTTCAGTGAAAATCAGGGCTCTGAAGTCATCAATGTCAGAGATATCACACTGCAAATGCTTAGTGTGATTGCTAATCGCACGTTTTGAGGCAAACCAATGACCTCTGGAATGTCTGACAATCAGGTGCGCAACCTGAAGAATCCGGATATGCAACCAAAGCTCTTCACTTTCGACCGGACATACGGAAGTTCAAGTACTCAGCGAGAAATCTATGACGATGTTGCGCATTCTATTGTGCACAGCGTGATGTGTGGGTATAATGGCACAATTCTGGCTTATGGTCAGACCGCCTCAGGAAAAACTTTTACCATGGAAGGGCTCGACAATCCTCCAGGTATGACCCTTGTCATGCGAGCCTCTGTGATAACTATCTAGTACTCGCATAGACTCGAAGAACTTTAACATGTATTAAAGATGGGCTCTAGCTGACCAGAGTCAGCTAGAGCCCAAACCTTGTCTGCAATATAATATGAATGCCTGAACTGTAGATTATGTGTCGTTCATGTCTGTTCTTTAGTTGTGTGTTGTCTCGAAAAAAATTTCCGAGAAACTAGAATCATTTTCAACACAAAAGTACTTTTGAGACGAAACTGAGAACCCTCGTAAATCAAGAGATAGAACACCATCACAACTTCAGACCCACATCTGATGCTTCTGCTGTCCATCTTTTGTCACTCTCGTGACCAAACCGTGCTCTTGATGTGTAGAAATGAGAGGAATCATTCCAAATGCATTTGAAGACATATTTGCACACATCGAGCAAAGTCAGAGTTCAGATCATTTCCTGGTCCGTGCCTCGTATCTGGAGATATACAATGAGGAAATTCGAGATTTACTGTCTCAAAGCACACCGAATCAATACAGACTAGAACTGAAGGAGAATGGGGATGCTGGTGTCTACGTGAAGAACCTGACGTCAGTAACAGTGCAGAGTGTCCCCGACATCAATCGCCTACTATTGGTCCATCATTTCTACACTACTCCATGTGCTGCTGGTTAGGATCATTTAACTTCATATTTCATGATTCACTTTTGAGAAAGACGTGTTGCTTGTTTCCTCTTTCCTCCGTAGGCAAGTTGAAGTATGTCTTTGTCAAGTCGAGGACTACTTTTACAAATTCCTTGAAACCATATGGCTCACAACATACGTACACAGAAAGTTAGGTCTTCGTTAATTACTGAAAAGTAGATACCAGCATAAACAGCACAGGAACTTCTGATCTTTGGAAAGTTCGGCTGTTACTAGTTCTCTGGCTATGAAGACAGCAAGTTTAAATCGACCAAAATCATGTGCAGGGAGTGAGTCTGTATGTGTCTGGAATGTAAAGGGTACTGGTTATGAAAAGGTATTCTTCTCGTGATGTTTGCAGATGGGGAAGAAGAATAGATCTGTGGGAGCAACCTTGATGAACCAAGACTCATCTCGTTCTCATTCCATATTTTCCATCACCGTCGAAACAAGTGCAGGTCCTTGTTCTGAGCATCCTGATACAGAAAAGAGTGTCATCCGAGTTGGGAAGCTTAATCTGGTAAGCACCCCAATAAGCAAGGTGTGCATGAAAATCTTTATTTATGTGTTTCTCATTTTAACGGTACAGATGTCACGTAAGTATCCATCATCCATCTTTAACTTTTGTGAGTTTGGGAAATCATGAATCTTCTTTCGACGGAATCAGCTTCCTTTCTCTAGGATGTACTGAAGACACTTACGCACAATGTGGCATACCGTCAATTTGTGGAGCACAGGTTAGGTTCCTGTTCCAGTTTCATGATTTGTACAGAAAGGTCCATTCTTTTTGTGGGCTCACTAATCTGTAAGTTTCGTCACGCTGTGTTTTACTAGAAGACACCGCTCTCGTGTTCTCCTCCAATCACAAACATGGGTACGCATTGACTCTGATATAACATTGGACTCACCAATTCCCGCACTGCCACTAGCATTCAGACTGCATGACCATAGCACCAGGATTAGATAGCAAAGTATAGATTCAGGGCAGCACATTGCAGTATTTGAAGCTGGAGGGTTTGAACAAAATCCACCTTCACCCCTTCAAAGATGATCTGTTCATTGTGGACGACACAGTGAGTGACAGCACGTACCGTTAACCTAACTTCCATAAACACCGTTGTTCTGGACTGGAGCTACCGTTGAGTGCATTATAATTCAGGCAGTCAGATCTTTCTCCATATGGACCTTCAGGTCGATTTGGCGGGCAGCGAGAGGTTGAACAAGACAGGAGCAACGGGAGACAGGTTTAGGGAGTTGACAAATATCAACTGGTCGCTCTCTGCTCTGGGCAATGTCATATCTGCTTTAGTGGATGGGAAAAACACACACATTCCTTACCGGGATTCGAAACTCACTAGACTTCTCCAAGATTCCCTCGGAGGGAACACACGGACCGTTATGGTGGCGAATATTGGCCCAGCAGATTACAACTTTGACGAGTCAATCAGCACGCTGCGGTATGCCAACCGAGCCAAGAATATCAAGAACAAGCCACGCATCAATGAAGATCCCAAGGACACTATACTGAGAGAATTTCAGGAAGAAATTATCAGGTAACGAAATCTTTGCCAATATCACATTTTGCATGATATTTTGACATTTTACTGAGGAGGGAACCAATACAGCTACAGAAGAGAGAACACTTCAAACACGAAGAACAAAGAATTTACTTCGTTCATTATCTGTGCACGTCTGTAAGAACTTATATACATCTAAACGGTAGACTAGGATCTCAGTGTAGGAAGTTGTCGACAACTATCCGGATCGTGTAGGGACTTTTCTTGGAACATAGGGGCCCAGACATGTGTATCATTCTATGTTCCCCCGGTGTAGGACTCTCATGAATTTGTCATAGCTTGGTAACATTTAATCTAACCCTCATGTAGAATTTGAGTAATATTCATAATATCATAACGGAAGGCGGTTTCAGTCCCATTTCTAGTATGCATTTCCTATGTTTCACTTCTGAAGGTGCTTTAGTAAGCACATCAGCCGTCATATTCTCAGTTGTACATGACAGTGTTATAGATATTTGTTTCTTCTTCTTTCTCTTCATCAAATTTCCTACTTGTAGAAATATGTTTTGTCCTAAATTGATGAACAGGTTTTCTAGTGAGTCCAATAGCTCCAGCGCATCACACATCAATATAGTTAGAGTTTGTCGAGTAAATCGAAATTACCCAATATTGTCCTGGACCAAAATGGTTGTTGAGTAGCTACTGTAGAAGCCATTATTTGAGCTTCTGTTGTAGATAAAGCTATTGACATCTCTTGTTTGCTACCCCAGCGGGGTTAGTTAGTTTGTAAATTAGACAAGGTAGTAACTTCTCTATCAGTAGCAGATCGTCTATATACACTGTAAGGTACAGCATTCCATCCTTCCTGTACACACTCAATTCTGAGTCTGTTGTCTAGAAGCCTTGTTTCCTGAAATAACTTTTGAGACCAACTCATAGGTGTTTGCTTCAGCCCATAGAGTGCTTAATTTCAACAGAAGCTCAAATTATAACCAATCCAATTTACATTATTGATTATTGACTTATTGATATGGTCTGACTTTATTCATGCACAACATGATATATTCTTTGTTCAAACACTTACGAAAGTGGACATATTGCAGGCTCAGAGCCCAGTTGCAGATCAACGTCCCTGAACCAGAAGCTCGTGTTGAGAATAACACGGAAAGGGAGAAAGAAATGCAGATGTATAAGGATCAGATTCGCCAGAATATGGAATGGGAAGTCACACACTACAAGACTCTAAGTGAGCAAGCAATGGCCTGCATAAAAGCTGATTTGGAGCGAAAGGTGACGTTCATGTTCACTCTTGCAGTTACTAAGAATCGAAGTTTTTAAGAACATGTTCTCTATCTTGATGCATGTCTAACCATTAGCGGTAAGGATGTGTCAGTCTCAACTATGCCATTCAAGACTAGTACTCAGTGCTCTTAAAGAACTATCGCTACATGGATTTAAAACTGATATACGATCAGGAGTTCGAAAGGCTGTCCTGGACTTCGATGGTGGGTAGTCAAGTGGGTCCAGAAAGATGGATAGCTGATTGTTGGAATTTAGTTTCACTTTAGACAAGCGGAGCAAGTGACCTTCACACTTTGTGGCTCAGAACAGAAGTTGCAAGTATTGGTTTTGGTATTGGAGCGGTGATGTCCTGCTGCAGGCCTGATCAACAGTAGGACATGATGCGGGGAGGAATTCAGGCCCAGCAGGAGATGGAAGCCTTGAAAGCAGAGAAAGAGCGAACTGAAGAAGAGAAGCAAAAAATTGCAGAGAAGCTTTTGCAGCAGCACATGGAGTTGCAGTCACATTACCAGGTCTGTACTTCTACTCTCACCTTAGCGATATTCGCGATTACCACAAATCGGAAAGACTGGAGATGACCATGATAGCGTCTTCAGAACTTTGTGGTGTCCATGTTCTCAGCTTCAAAGGACATCATGATTGGTACGCAGGCTCTTGCCAGGGAGAAGGAGGATCGCGAAGTCCTAGCCCAAAAGCTCAAGGCTCTTGAGGAAAAACTGCTTCATGGTTCAAATAGTGTTAATGAGAAGCTCTCTGAAAAGGCCAAAGAGCTTGCATTCAGAGAGCAACAAATCCGAGAGAAAGAGTACCTTGATGAGGAACGCAGGCGCAAGATAGCAGAGCTTGAGGTCAGTAAATCAAACTCCAACAGAACAGTACGAACTTACCCGCTCGCAAATACTAAGCACTGACACACATAAAGAGAAGCACGAAACTGAAGTTGGATCCTTCAGCACAAAAATCTTGAAAAATTTGACCTCATGCATGTCTACCGCATGTAACAGGAAGCTCAACTAATGGTTGAAGAAAAATGTAACACTATGGAAGAAGATGTAGAAGCTAAGACTAGGAAGCTCAAGAAGTTAATGGCTCGATACCAGCAAAGCAAGGCAGAGATTTCAACCCTGCGAACTGAGCTTCAAGACACCATTCATGAGTTTCAAAGAGAACGAGCAGACATGTTTCTATCCCTTCGCTCCCTTGATCAACAGCTCCAACTGAAATCCTTCATTATTGAGGTACGTCTATGCACAAAGTTTCCCTCATGACTGGATGTTCCAACCCAGCAATTCCAGTTCGCTTGATAGCACAGTTGCGTGCCACTGGTCAGGTACTATTTTCTAGTTTCAGGCCGGGCACAGCTCGGGACAACCCTTGCTGTGTGATGTGACTCAAGACCCAGCTTATTTAAAACAGGGCAGTGTAGGGGACGCAATGCTTACAAAAGCTAATGTCCCCAGTCTGAAATATGCTCTAAAACACCGAGGATTGGATGTTACTGCTGCATATTTAAGCGTTCATCACTTCACTCATATTATCTCGCTTCCTCGTAAAGTAGTGTGACCTTTCAGTTAATCTTTGTCAGTCAGATTTCTGTACAGGTCCGTTAAGATTATATGTGGATTGAGGTAAATTATCATACTTGTACTTATGTTGATGTAAAGCAGAAATTTATACCACCTGAGGAGATTTCAAAGATCATGCGTAGAGCAATCTGGGATGAAGAAAGTGAAACATGGATTCTTCAAAGCATGGTACAGAAAGTTCCCTCTGCAGATGGAGAGACTCGAGTTTATCTCACAGACGGAATCGATAAGCAACCTTTGCAACGTCCAGTTTCAGCAATGGGAAGGAACAGACACATGTGCAGACAAGCTGAAGATGCAATGGCGAGAGGCGATCGAGACCCAAGATACATGTAAGATGATACACCCACAGAAAATGTTGCTCTTACGTGTGTCTGACTCAACCAAAGCATGATCACTCTTTGATTGGATGTTTTTCCTAACAGCACATAAATGCAGGATGGACAATATTTGGAGATTGGAGCTTGACATGCCGGAGCGAACCACTTATGATTATGACAATGCAATTGATCGAGCACGAGCAGAAACAGATGTAGAACTCGCTCTTATGGAGTTTGATGATGAAAGCCCCTACTTTTCATACGAGTCTAATCTTCCAACTCCTGCTAATCTTCCAACTCCTGCCAGACCCAAGTCGGCGCGCACCAAGCACCATTCTCGCCCAAAAACTGCAACAAGATAACAAAATAAAATCAGTTGTCTGGTGTGTAATATTTGAGCTCATTGCAGTGTCTCTGATGACATATATGCGTCCCATGATTGAAACCTGCTTATTTGATTCTTTTGCCTGGACTCTGAACCTGTTTCAACTGTAGTGATGGGGTTTTTGTTCATGGCAGATAAGTCTAGGACGGGTATCAATCGATCCTATCTTTCAGAGATACCATTCGAGTGAACATTAAATAACACATAAGTGGGTTCATAGTTCCATATGACTCGGGTTATCGTCTCGTTATATCTCGAGTTGTCATGATCACCTGCACAATCAATAACACGAGAGTATTTTGTTATCGTCACCTTAAATCTGAAAAATCATCACGGACGGCCGAAGTTATTACCGACTCTCATGGTTGTTCTCCTAAATGGCCATCTTTCCTCAAGTTTACTACTTAGCCGAAGTGATCATCAGACTTTCTTGTTTCCCGAGACAACACCACTTGATACCCCTTCAAATTGGTACAGGAGCGGCTCAATAAGACTGTCACGGGTTTTCTTAAGGGTTACATAAGAGACGTGTGAGAATTTCCCTTAGTCGGACACCGCAATGTTCAGCTCGAATTTAACATCTTCATCATGTGAACAACTTGCCTGAAACCTAATGGATCAACTGTAGTCGTTGTTTGATCTAACTTTCATGCGTAGAGCTGGTGACAATAGTGGCCCAGGCTTGAGTGATTCATCGAAGAATGGGTAGGCGTGATGTCAACGAAGAACATGAAACTGAGGAACACATTTATGTAGAAGATTTGGTTATTTACTTAAGAATAAGAATTATAGAATTTTAGCAAATATATAGAATATTGGGATAAAAATATGTTATGTATCTCACGTATACCAAAAAGTCTCTTTCCTCAATTAAATATTACTCATGAAATACACATCTGAAACATCAAAGTTTGTACTTCGTGTTTTTGTTGTAATATCTTTTGAGGATTAAAAACCGCAGTGGTATATCATTCAAAGAAGTGTGTTTTAGGGTTTAAGTTTGTACTAAATCTTCTAATTATTCTTAGTAATTTGATTTAGCGTTATATTATAAAGCAGAGTTTTGACATCGCGTGTTGGAACTGTGTGTTAATTCCCATTATTTATCGTTATTGATAAAAAAAAAAATTATACTCGGTGAACGAAAATTTTGAATAATATATATATTATTCAGAAAAAATTGGAATCTTTAAAATAAATTGCATTCTGGTTTGAGGGAGAATTTTATAAATATTGATACACAATATCAATAACAGTCATGAGTAAAGAAAATTAGCTTTTTTTATCACGTTATATTGATTTTAAAAGTTAATAATATATGAAAGATGATAAAAATTTATAATCCAAACTTGACTTTTTTATTCATGTGGAGTAAATCATAATACGACAAGTTTTAGCTAAGTTTTTATACAAATTTAAAAGATATTTATAAATATTTTTTAAATAAATATAAAAATGTTAATTTTGGATAAATTTTAGCACAAAAATTGTAGAGATCTCTTTTAAATGATATTTTCTTAATGAAATGTAGATCTTAATACATAGTTTCAGAGAATATTGATATCCAAATATAGTAACTTTATCACCAATGATATAAAAAATAATATGAATGTCCAGACAATTAAAGTCAATCTTTCGTTGAGTACATGGTAAATGGTAAAGTATAAATGAGTAATAGTAATCATTCCATTAGATTTGTCACGAAATTTTTTGTAGTATGTTATTTTTCAAATCTAAAATTTCTTTTACCATTTCAGAAGCTACTGAATATTTATATTTCATATTTTTTGACTAAAATCTAGAAGGGAGTATATTATACATTAACTTGTACATATATGAATTTCTATCAACACATGAGGCGAATTATATAGTGACTAATAGATAAATAGAAGTTACATCTATGTAACAAATACGATGTGATATCCCCTGATTTCTGAAATGATGAAAAGAAACGATTAACACAATATCTTAGGCACCAACAACATCATAATGGAAAATCTGGCCGCAGTACATGTCAAATCGTCTAAAAATAACTTAGCATCCAAAGAAGTATCATCTTGTATGATTTTTTTCTCTTATCAATTACGTAACCTAGTGAATTCTATAGCAATGAAATTAATCCTACTAAAGAATAATAAGTCAAAGAGATTGAGTATCAAATAGGATGGAGTCTATAGCATTACATCAACCTAAACTAAATGGACCTTTGGATTTCATGTATTTTGTCATTAACTCATTGTTTTCTTCTTCTTTTTCCCTGCCTCTGACTAAATTTCATAAATTAATTTCGAGAGGTCCACTAACGGCTGTCCAAGAAGGTGGGCAAAGGACCACTGGATTATGTGAACATAGTGACGTTTGCATAACCCAGCAGTTAAACGATGGCTAAGGGGACAACCACTGACGCCGCTCCATGGCCCACCATTTTTGAACGTTACAAACTCATCGTAACCTATTCGACTGAGCGCAAACAGAACAGTGGCCCCGCAAAAGTGGGCACGTGCGCCCAGGCCGAAATGTCGACCGCAAATTACGGGGTGAGTCACCGCGACTATCTTCAGAACTGCGGATAGGGTGGGACGAGGTTCGTAGATCGCAGTCAGGACAGAAACAAATGACCAGCAAAATGGTATACACCAAAATTTCCAAAAGGCATCCCCAAATTATAAAAGTATAAACACGAAATAATTAAAACTCCGCCATCTACACTTACATTACAATCTGCCTACCGAGAGGCCTATAGTCAAGAAACCACGATCCCTCCAGACAAACAATGCGTCGGCTCCGATCGAACCTGGTAGTCCAACGAGCGAATGTGTCGGCCGAATGAAGTGATTGTGAAGACGAGCAGAAGTCTAAAGGAGACATAAAAGCAGCCGTATGTGGCACCCCGTTTGTCGAAGAGATGAGAAGAAAACGACAGGTAACTTAAAGGTTACTTCCCGTTGAGCGTGGGGCGGGAGTCCAGCTAGAACCAGCACGGAGCACAGTGGAGGGATGGGTATGGAGAGGGCGGACTGTCTGGCCCTCGATCGCAGACCGATTCGAGGCTCTCTCTAGGTCGACAGACAATCCTCGGGCGGGCTAATTTCGATTCGCGCTTCTTCGTGCGCTCTGGGGAGAGCGGAGCATCGACGAGAGCCTGGGGAGCGGCCGAGCTGCAGGACAGGAAGCGTGTGAAGGAAGGCCCGGGCGCGCTCTTTGCGTTTGTCAGTCGCTCGCGCTCGCTCAGCTTTGTCTGCGCGCGATTTGACGTTTTGATCTGGTTTGAATGAGTGAGCGGACTGGGGCCTGCAGAGCGGAGGGTTGGGGCAATTGCGGTGGTGCGCAGGTTGTCTGGGAGGGTAGATCTGCATTGTAGTTGGAAGGACAGGAAGGGAGGAGAAGGGAGCTGAGTCGGGAGCTGGAGGAGGTGGGGTTTTTGGGTTGAGGGGTCACTGCCACGCGAGTCGGATCGGTCGGTGCCTCGCTTTGAGGGTTCGAGGAGGGGATCTTCTCAAGAGTGGAACTTCGTATCGTGTTGGTAGAAATGACGGGTGGTCATTGCCGGTCGCGCATTGGGGTTCTGATTGTGGCGTTTGCACTGAGTGTTCTTTGCGTCGTCGCGGACACCGATAATAATAAGATAACGAAGCCTTGTCAGGATACTACCGTGAAGAAGTACGATGGGTTCACATTTGGGCTGGTAATCGCAAAGAATGAATCTTTCTTCACAAAGGGCAAGAACCCCGTGCAGCTGTCGCCTTGTGACAAGCGCTTGACCAATTTGAACAGTGGCCAGGTTGCAGTATTCAGGCCGAAAGTTGACGAGATCAGTCTTTTGATTATTAACTCCAGTTCAGTGAACCCTGTAAGTTTACTCTGCCTGCTTTGAATCTTAGTGGAGTTATCGTGTCATTTGTTTAGAATGCATCTGCTGTGGAGTGAGTTGATCGTTTGTCAAATGGTGTCAGTAGCAGCGTAGATCGTCCACTTTTTAGCTGAATTCTTCTCGTTTAGGACGGATGCCGTCACTCGGCAGTCTCGCCCGTTTACGACCTTTACGTTCTACCTCTAGGTCGGTCTTCTCATCAATGTCAATCAACAGGCACAGTTGGGACGCTGAGTCTTTATGGAACAGCCTGAGGGCTAACGTATGTATTGCGTCCGTTCATGATCCGAACTCACTATTCCCACGCCAGAGAACCACCATGTATCGAACTTAACGCCGATTCTTCATATCCGAGATGGTGAACCACCCCCCTTAGCATGGATTATCGTATGGTTCATATATGTTTAACCAGCTGGTTGACATAAGAATCATCGGACATAATGCCGATTTCACATGTGAACCTGAAATGCTAGAAAAGGTCTTGTCAGGATTGGTCGATCTGATTGCTCAACTTGAGGATTCGTGGGAACACAGATCAGGATTATGCCTTCGGTATTTGACTTGCATTTAGTACTGAGGAACTATATATAAAAAAAAGTGACATGGGCCGTCAGTCTCTGTTTAGAAGACTGCACGTGCACGTCTTTTCTCTACGTGCACGTGATCGTATTGTCTATTCGAACTACGAACCTTGTTGCATTTGCTTTGTTTGGCGCGTAACAGGTAGATTAGTTTTTCTCCCTTTCACATTACACTCAACATCGGATGTTCTAGTTTTACAGTCTCTCACCAACTCCATATTTGTGGCACTCTCTAGACTTCATCCACATAGTGTGTTCTGCAGAGGAGCTTCTACATGCTTTTGCCTATGATCAACGCGGGTTTTTGTACTCATGTTCGCTACAATCGTGTGCAGCAAAACTTTGGTGGGAACGCGGTCGTCTTCGCTGGGAGTAAATTCGCGGCCGTCTCAGCTCCCATATTTCTTGCCAACAACACGTACCGCGTCACTAGTTTGTCACTGGTATGAACCGGCACTAATTTTCTTTCGTCTTTGATCTGATTATTGCTGTTATACCTGGAAGCTCACATATTGGTATGGTTTCGTTCGGATTGCAGGTTTTGAATTTCGAGAAGGGTAGACTGATACAGATTTTGTGGAAGAACGACAAATGCAAGTCGTGTTCAGGATCAAATAGCACTATTGTCTGCTTGAAAGGTGGCCAGTGCGCAGTCAAGAGCAGCAAGTGCAAAGAATCCGGGGGAACAACTGACTGCAGTTTGAGCATCCAGACTGCATTTTCCGGTACTGATAAGTACGATGATGTACTGAACACTTGGTATCAGGTGGACAAGCTACAACAATATTCGCTGTATGCGCTGTACAGTAACTTGAAGTCAACCCTGTCTCAATTCAACCTTTTTTTCTGATGAGGTTGTTCTTCAACCACTTAAGATCCCCATCACTTCCCAACAAAGCATTGTTCGTCCTCGTACTCCCCCGATATTGAAGTATGGAAGTAGCAGTGGGAACTGGCGCTGCTTCGAGGTTTCGGTGGGTTACTCTAGAAGAACAGAACTGCGACTTCTTGGTGCACAACGTCAGTAAGGACTGACAACCGCACGAAGGAAAGTCAATATATTTTGACGAGATTCGTGGCCACTTCTGGTGGTCTATAGCAGCCAGGATATATGCTAGATGGGTTCATAGATTTGCATGTTTTTCAAGTGGACCTGCAATGTTTGTAGGATGTGGTCGCATGGTTCTCTCAGTACTGCATGTAGTATGTAGAAAATTTTCATTCTTTGGGAGAATCAGGAGAGCTCTGCATTTTCAAGTAAAAGTGGTCGCACCTTGATGAGACCAGGTTTGTTCATAGGTTTGCCTGTTTGCAGAAGTAGACTTAAACTGCTTAGTATGCAGTTGAAAGTTTGTAGCCGTAACGCATGATGTATCTAGATCAACTCATTCTTTCGGATAAATCAAGAGAGCTTTTAAGTTTCATCAAAAAAATGTGATCGAGCTTCAACTCTACTGCCCTTTTGAAATGAAGTCTATATCATAAAGTTTGTGTTGTATGATAAGTGTGCTAGCTCTCCAACATATGCTAGGCTCCATATGTAGTCACGTTGAGTAGCAAATCTGTTGTGGTATTATTTTGATGCATGAATACTTGGGCATGACCTCCCAAGTGGTGTGGAGTAATTGTTTGTTTTCCTTTAATTGGAATAAGTAATTCCCTAAGACGTGTTGAGTAGCAAATCTGTTGTGGTAGTATTTTGATGCATGAATACTTGGGCATGACCTCCCAAGTGGTGTGGAGTAATTGTTTGTTTTCCTCTAATTGGAATAAGTAATTCCCTAAGACGTATTGAGTCCATGTTTAATACTTAGCAGGCGCACACGGGTCAGATGTAATACATGGGTACATTCTATCTGGCTTAGAATGTATAAATACGAATCAGGAGTTCTTTTTCCAAATAATGAGGAAGTAAAGTCACGATAGTCCTAAAGATTTCTACAGGTAAGAAGACATGTTCCTGACTAACCCTGATTCTAAAACTGCGAAGGTCAAGGGCTGGAAACTCATGGAAGAAGGTACAGTTGACTTTGTCGTGCAGTCTGAATTAGGGTAACTTGGTCTATATTATGTACGACGAAAGCGGCCATCGTCGCAAAGTTACTGTTAATGTGTACAATTAGCTCCATGAGGACGTAGAGTATTTAGAGTTTATATCGATTTTGAGAATCCATCGTTGTCTGAACTCCGGTTAGATTACTGGTCCATGTTCAGCTTTGGGGATCAAATACAGTAAAATGGTTGGACACCATTTTACTGTATGGTGTGGTAAGTCCTCTGGTGCAGTATGTCGCCCGTATGTCTTGTGACAGTTGCCTGATCAGGACCACCACTGACCCTTGTCTCTGCTTGTCGAAGGTGGTTGTCCCACTTTTCTGGGCTTTGAAGGTAGGTTTCGAAGGTTGACTAGAAACGCTAAAACTTGTGCACAACTTGGAAGCATTTTTTGTTAGCAGCAATACATCAGAATGCAGATGACCTCAACTTCATTACTCCACCAACGTCAGGATGGACTTCCATGGACTGTCTGCAGAGATAATTGTCATGTTCTAAGGGCGGATGGGAGCCTGCCATTTTCTTCAATGTTGTGGGAGCTGAAACATTTGTCTATCCAGCATGCTGGATAGACAAAGTTTCAGTACGACATGCGGTTTGAAGTGCCAGCTCTATGGTTGGACGTCCAGAGCTCGCTGAGTTGGTTCGCTTCACAGGGAAAACATAATGCTCGTTACCCTGGTTCTCTTTTCAGAATGGTTGCCGAAAAGAAAGGGGAATCTAGTTCACGGGACTGGATGTTTTTCAACTCCTTTTGCATCATCCCAGTCTAGAAAAAGGAGAGAGAGAGTCTACGAAGTCAAGAAAGGGTAATCTATTTCACAGGAGTGGATGTTTTTAAACTCCTTTTGCATCATCCCAGTCGAGAAAAAGGAGAGAGACAGTCTACGAAGTCAAGCTCCTGTGCTGAAGATCTTTAGAAAGGATTATCATTAAGAGATGAAAGCCAGAAGTAGGCACTTTCTCTAGTACAACCATAGATGGAAGAGGTTCATAGAAAAACATCACAGGTAAACACAAGTCAGCTTGCAACACAGCTTGCACCACGGAAACCTCCACATCTGTACTTCAATCGGACACATGTTCCACACAACCCTTGTTCTCTGTTCGATCTGGATATTTTTTTATATCCGTCTATTGTTTCACCTACTTCACGTCTCGCCAACCTTTCCTTCCTCTACCGTTGTATTCGAAGGTTGAACCGTAATTGTCGAGCAGCTTTCACAGGTCTGACTTGTTCCAATTGGCAGAAGTAAACGGCGAAACATAAAACGTGGATTCTTTCTTCCTTATGGCATGCAGATGGAGACTTGCACCACTTCAGTCAGAGCTTGACGTAATGCGCGATCGTTGACTGAGTTAACTGTAAGTAGGAGTAAATTACACTCTTTCCATAACGTAGTACAATTTTCGTATGCCAGGGTTCCAAAAGTGTGCCCATACGAGCGAAAGTCAATTTTAATCGGAGAAACTTTGCACCACAGGATTTATGAAGCATGTCTTATGAAGCTAGCTGGTCATGATCTGGCCTCGCTGCTTTTCAGTAAGACCTCCATTCAAAACAGTTTCTCCACGTGGCTTCTCACAGACAGACACGTGTACCATCACAGAGAGATCACGAGCATATAGTAAAGTCAGCACAAGGTTCAGGGTTTCAAGGTTCCTGACAACAGTTCTTTTGCCCCTTGCGTTTCTCTTTCTCTCTCCGTGATGATTATATCCTCTGCCACTAAGGGTATTTGCATTCCCGAGGAAGAGTATCTAACAATGAGCGAGAGTCCACTGTGATCGACTGGGCGACTGATGGTTTCATTGAAGACTGGTGGTGTTGTTGATGTCACCTGCGTGTCACCTTCATGCTGTGGTAAGATTGTCATGCCATTGCGCTCATTAACCGTGTGGTTTGAGCTCGAATCTTCTTCGCTTGTATAAGTTTTACCCAACTGTTGTAATGATTTCCCCGTTAACAGGTGGATGGGCAAGACGAGCAAGCTGCTTTTTTAGATTCCAAGGAGCTCAATGGCAGGCTCGCACATTCAAACCCACGGTTTCTCGAAAACTGCATATGCACAAATGCAGAGCGGTGCTTACTTCATTCTCGTTAGTGATTGAATGGTGTTATTACGTCAAGTCAGTCGGTGGAAACTCAACCAATCTGGGCCGCGGATCAGAGACCAGTGAGGAAAGCCCCACCCGCAAAACTTTGGATAGAGCTCCGGGTCCCACCGCTCTTGGCTTTTCTAACGAATTTCGCGATAATGATCTTAGAGACCCGCGACGCTACTAGGTATCATCCCTTCTGCATCCTCGATCCTCTCGCCCGTTCTCTCTTCCTCTTCTCCTTCAGTTCGCAAGGATCGAACAGTAGACGCAACCAGACCTCAAAAATAATACCTGCATTGGGACGAGGGGACGTGCCTCTTCTCGCACAGATGAAGATGCATCTGAATCTCAATTCACTCATTCCCAATAAATGAATAACCTACCTTGAGCAGAAAGAAACAGTTCGTAATCATGGTACGCTCGACGGCAATTTGGTACTGGTATTTGACCAAATCCTACAATCTATTGGAGATCAGTGATCACCAGGCTACTGTGTGTAGACCACACTCTCCTGGCCAGCATCACTGCAAGTCTGTAGCGTAGTATAATCTGTATGTAAACCTTGCCCTAAGCTCACTTACCATGCAATCATGCTCCACGTATCGACTCCATCTCATGAACATTTGAGTCCTCCCGGTAGCATGTCAACCCTATTCGATAAATATCACTATCCCATCGCATGCCTCTTAAGGTGACCGAAGTGGACCTCTCCAAATCTCACATCCCTTGCACATACATCACTCCGACGTACTATCGTAGTGGATTTCCTGTATGCCGAGTAATGATTAAACCTGTTGTAATATTGCAAAGACTGCACGGATTTGGTTTCTGGGACCTGTTCTCCACGAAACGAACGATCAATCAATCAATCAGAGTGATCGGGCGATCTCCGCTCACGCCTCAAGATCCCAAATTCCGCCGGCCGTCCGTCCAAACCACAATGGTCTGAGCCACTCCCGAGCGATCGCTAATCTGCTCATGAATCAATGAGTGAACGAACGGACGACCCACACAGTTCTAGAGAACCCCACCCTTCACACGATGAGCTCCGCATGCCAAAGCCTCGTCGACTCTCGTATATGCAAGCAGCCTTCTGAGATTCGACGCGAATATTCTCTCGCCTCCATCCCCGACCCCTCCAGGTGCGGAAGGCACAGAACAAAACACGGCCCGGAATTATTCTTCCCGGCTTCTCCTCGTGATGATCGCCCGGCGCGGCAGCGGTTTCTTAAGCGACTGGGGTCGAGAGGGAGAGAGGCAGCGCTCCACGGCCTTTAAGGAGAAGAGTGCATAAATTACCGTAAGCTGAGGTACGGAGACGTGCATTCATTAACTCCCTTTTCTGCAGCTCCGTCGTGCCTTCGTCTTTCATGCACTCACGACATGGTCTTCCGGCGACGCGACGCGACATTCCGTTCCGTTGCTTTGTTACCACGCATTGCATTTGTGGGTCGTTATGCAACTACTTCGGGTTCCAGGAGGATAGGAGATGTGTGCGATCCTGACAAAGAAATTACCATTAGCTCTTTGACAGAAAATTATATTTATTTCCACGGTCCAGGTACAGGTGGAGACACCGGGATGCAGGTTCATTTCATCTCATTCATCTGTTCTGTTAAAAATGATGAATTTCAATCATTGTACTGTCATGATGCAGGCAAAATGTGTTTGTCAATGTTCCAACAGAGATGTACGACATTTCGCATGTATGAGACGATAATTAGTATTTTAGATGGGAAGAGTCAGAAAAGGCGATATTAACAATTGGAAGATTAATGCAATAAATGTCGGAATGCTAGGCCTTTCATGCACACTATGATCGCTTGTGGTTCAAAGTTTAAGAAATAGGGTGATTATTACTGATTTCGAAGAGATTCCAAGAATTATATTCCACGTGGAGTTCATTACGACTGCGTATGAAGCGTCTGAAATCATCTAAACGTTTCATACAATATGTAAATAAGCTCTTGTCTCTGTACGTGAGTCGAAAATCAATTTATTTTTTCTCGATTTGTGGGTGTCATCCTTGCGAGGGGCCATGCTAATCTTCTCTGTATCGTTCCAATGTTATCGGATGTTCCCAAAGGGACTTATCACACCCACCGTATGATTGCGCAGTCACAACACTTTATCACAAACACGACAAGCGTAATTAAACCGTTGTGGAGACCGTTTAATAGCACATTTAATTTAGTGGGCAGCATGTAATGAATATCATTACATGGTGTCCACATTCGAATATCTCGCTTTGATTAAATGATTCGGTCTAATACTAGTTAATGGAATGATTGTAATAGTAATCGGTATATGTTAAACCATTTACCATTACCATTTAGAACTTTGAAATGAATTACGAACATCGACTCTTATTAGGAAATTGACGACGACCAATGTACTCTGTTGCTCGAAAGACGTATTACTTAATCGCTTAATTTCATATACATGCGGATATATCCGCACGTGCGTAAAGTTGATCTTTTCCGTTACTTAAATTATCTGAATTAAAATAAATTTACTCTTTTCAATCATGAAATATCCTCATTTTGAACTATATTAAAGTATTATTCCCCTTTTGTTACAATAACAAACTTTAACATCAACAAAAAAATTTGATCACTTTAGTCTTCACTACGTCATTTCCCTCAGGTCAATATTATGCATAAATTATGAAAATACTTAAACGGATATGCGGGTCGCGTCTATTTGACCACGTACATGTTTTTGATACTCATTGCTCGTACTAGAACTTTCATTCTAAGTATTCCATTCGGTGCCAAAATTGAATCCAACCGTGGATTCAATTATTTTCCAAGCCAATTAATGAGTTATATATCCTATTTTTCTATATATCAATGTTTTATATTTGGTTTACTTCTCACTCCTTAATTGTTTTGAAGTTGACATCTTCTAATGTATCATGTAGTAGATGTCCCGACCATTTCGAAGCGGCCATTAGTATCGAATCAAAGATACAAATTTCAATTTATTGTTACGAGTCAGTCTAAGAAAGCCTTACGTAAATAACACCTTGTTCTAAACCTTGTTTATACAGAATATATTATTTTCATGGAGAAATATTTACAGCAGGATTAGGACAGTTTCAAACTTCTTTTTTTTCAGAGTAAATAGCATCGATTGACTTCAACACGTAAGAAGCAGATGACTTCATAAAAGGTCTAATCCACTTACTTGCTGGTCTATATGTGAGGACGTTAATATATGAATACTCTCATAGGAGCAACAGTAGATTTAATCGCGAAAAATTCTAGAAAAAAATTCTTTTCTTTATAAAAATTCACAGATTACATATCAATGTAATATAGTTGGATTTATTTTACAAAATAATGTTTTCATCCACGAATCTTAATGGTAAGACTTCATGAAGTCTTCCCGTATCTTTTGTGATTTTACTTTGTACGTTTGAGGGGATAAACACCGGTGATAACTCCGTGCAGCGGCTTTTACAGCGAGAAGGGCGTGCCTCGGATAAGAACGACTTCACGGCACTTTGTTCGTGGGGTCCCACTCTCTGATCTCTCTGTGTCTCGCCCCGTCCTCTTCGACCCACCAGATTACCGGTAGTTAAAAACAGAACGACCGGAAGTTTTATCACGTTGCTATCTTATCCTTTGTAGTGGTCCTCTATAACGTCTGCCCCTCCGACCCCACGGGACGGCATGCCACCCGTCGTCAAGACTTCTGTCCCGGAAATTTCGGACACGGACCATCGTCTTCTACCGGTGATTCCTGGTCCTCATTGTCCGGTCACTTCCGGACACAACGGAATGCCGAGATGTTATTGCCCTGTTAACCATTTACCATTTAATTCAAGCTTTCCTTGTCTACAGTAAACAAATGCGGCGAACAACTCACAATAAAAATTACACTGATATAGAAGTATTTCAGGTTTGGTCTGATTGGAACTGGATACAGACTTGCACTAATAAGCATGAGATTTTGGGAGGAAAAATTATGCCAAAATCGTGAATATTATAGCTTACTTTAGTCATGGGCCTACGTCGATGAAAATTGGGCAATATATGTACAAACGTCAACTTCCGAACAGTTTTCGAGCTTTTGGCTCAATGTTAGAGGTGACAACTGCAGAGACTGGCCTCGTGGTTTCTTTAAAGAAGAAAAGACAAAACTGGACCTTCAGACGGACGCCCTTCGCTGGGAGAACGACCACATGTCGTCGAGTCAGAATTTCCTACAAAACCTATTAATGTGTAGAGCGAACGCAAAGTGCCCTGATGAGGTCGTCGCTGACCTCTGGCTATGGCAGCAAGACGGGCATCATCGTTGACGTGCACTGCGATTCTGTGGCCCGTGTATTTGAAACAGAAAGTAGTGTTCTTGACTTGAGGCTCGGAGCCTATGCAGACCTAGCCGGTCGAATTGAAGGAGAGGCCGCTAGATTTTATTCCTCGCCCTGACCTTTTCCGTTGACGTTTAGATCCTGCGCTTGTGGAGTGGATGTTCTCCAAGCTCGTGCCTACAACATCGTGCTCCTGCTCTTCTCGGAAAATAAGTCTCTCGAACTGCGAAGAAATGCAGTCGATTGGGTTCAAGATTCCTCGGCCCATATCTCTGGAGATGATTAAATGACACGCGCATTCGAAACTCACCAGTTTATGCAAGTTAGTCCGCATGTGAATGTACATGTGAAGACCCACCCATACTACCACAATCGGATGCGTACAAGTACATTTTTATATAAGAGAAGTGATGGTATAGGATAGTACGACGGAATTCGTTATTATTGTAATTCATCAAACAATTGTTTTCCGAATTCGTAAAACAATCGTTTCCCCAAATCAGTGACACAGTCTATCTACGAAGCAGAATGTTGTGACATCACAACGGGTCGTCTTCGGGTCGCAATCCTTACATCAAACCCTAGCGGTTGAGTATGAAAAGTCCCTCGATAGCCTTTCGGGGATCACGTCAGACGAAACAATGTGCTCTTTCTCTTGCGAATTTACATACACGATAAATACAAGTTTTCAAAGCCGTTCATAGAGAGATCTCTGGCAAAAGTTGGATCTTATGTAGGTCGTTCGTTAGTCATCGGTATTGGTGGCAGGATTTGTCGTCAGGTCTTTCTTTTAAGAAAACTGTCTCTTAAATTTCTTCCTTTTTACCTTCATAGTTCGACCAACCGATCCTCAAATTGGATGCTTTCAGTTTAGCAGTACGGCAATTCTTGTACAACAATTCATGATGCGTAGAGTTTGATGCACCGTGGGTCCAGTGTGGTGCCCATCTGTCTTAAAAAATTGTAAACATCGTACGCCATTACTGGCGTACGATGTTCCTAGTTCTCTATTTCATACACACCATAATGACATCAATCAACAATGGCGAGAAAATCATTAACTCTCTTCAGAAGTTCGGCCGAAGTTATGTTGAACTCGAGGTTAGGCCTAACGATCTGAAATCCAACTTTGCTCACAAGTTCGTCACAGTTGAGAATTCTGTCACCAACTTCAGATCTCGACGTCGGGGTTTTCATGATCACCTGCAAAAAGATATCCAGACCTTCTTTTCGAACCGAACTGGAGGACTTGGCCAGAGGCATGTTCGAGGTGAGAATAAGCTTGACATGTTACTACCCGTCCCGCAATTCGTTCACAGCAACGACCAAATCAATATCAAGTTCAAGTCGGTATCTTTTCATCAGAACGTATGTCCATGATGATGAAAGTGAAGGATGGGCCGGAAGCCTCTGATGAATATTGAGGCCTCTCTCTTTATTCCATATGTTTTATCAAATGGCATTCATGTTAGCGGATCAGGATAAGAAATATATCACGTAGGGAGTTGCAGTTTTTTTGGGGTCATCCGGTGCCTTGGGGTGAGATTTTCTCTGGCACGATTGGGCCTTTGCCTCGCTGAAAGGTGAGGTTGACCAGTTTTATTCCCATGTGTCGTTGTTTCTAGTCGGATCAGAGTTCTTTCGTATGTAAAGTTCGACACGAGCTCCAAGTCATGGGACCAAAACCAACCTGGTCTTCCCTTTCACCCGGGGTCGGTTTTCTTTGACGGCATTATCTTTTCGTGTACGGGATTGGCTTTGCATTTGCATTTGCATAGTTAACCGTCTTTTTGACAGTTCAGCATGAGACAAATCAATAACACATTATCTTCATCCCTATAGTACTTTTCCCCTTGTGTCGAACCACTCGCATGGAAAAGCTATACTACAGCTATGACAGCTTAAGTTTGTCCAA